TTCTAATGAAGGAGTCATTTCATTTATTGGGGACATGAATAAAATGCTTTTCTTTCTGTTACCAGTTAGGTAACCATTATAGTACCTGTGTTCCCTTTGTTTCCCAGTATTAAATAAGAAGGAGCACATAGTATAGATTATTGTTTTTGCGTCACTGAGAACTACATACAGTATATGATTCATCCTGTTAAGCTCAATTCTCTAATTAAAGACAAAATTAACATGTGCGTCAGTCGCTGGACTGGCAAGGAGTGATAATATCCAGAAAAGCAGGTTTTTTCTTTTTTTAAACTGTCATATCTACAGCTTTAACAGAGAAACAGACCTCAGAATTTGAATCTGACACTACTAATTTCAATATTATCTTCTTCGTTGCCTTGTTCTCCGTGAAAACACCCACTCAAAAATTCTCCAAAGAAGAAATAAAATCAAAATCATGGTAATTTAGGATCCCTGTTGTTATTTAGGCATGGTGGCTGAGTGGGCAGCATTGTTGTCTCACGCACTCTGGGCTTGGCGTCCTGCCTCTGCTGGCTGTGTGTAGAGGCTGCATGGCCTGCCTCAGCCTCTATGGATTTCCTGTGGAGGCTCTGACTGCCTCCAAAGTCCAAAGACATGCAGTTAGGCTAATTGGTTTCTCTATAATATGCATGTGGGGGGGGGGACTGACCATTTTCTCAGTCCCCACAAGGGTAAACTCAATTTTATAAAAATACGAGGCTGCAATCAAATAACTAAAAAATGACAAAATCCTTGTATTTTGTTCGGTTATTTATGGTTAAAGTTAGGGCTGGGTAGGGATTAAGGTTGTCATACTGTAGATGGGATTAGGATTTTGATTGTGTGTGTCTGCGTGCATGTGTGTGTATGTATGCATGCGTGTGTGTGCGCGTGTGTGTGTGCATGCATGTATGTCTGCATGCATGCGTGTGTGTGCGTACATATGTGTGTACATGCGAGTGTGTATGTGCGTGCATGTGTGTGTATGTGTGTGCATGTGTGTTGTGTATGTGTGTGTGTATGTGTGTGCATGCGTGTGTGTGTGTTCCCTCTAATGGACTGGCACTCCACCCAATGTGCACCCCAGCCTGGTGCCCTATGCTTCCTGGATAGTCACCAGAGCCACTTGTGACCCTGATGAGGATAAGCAGCTAGAATATGGCTGGCAGAATGGATGAAAGAATAGACGTTATCATATATTTCTAATACGCTGTTTCTGGTCTCCTGCTGAAATTTTGCTTTAAAACATTTAAAAGCAATTCTTTTAAATCACTGAAGGATGACTGAGGGAGGATGTTACTTCTTGCATTTTGCTGTGAATAGCAGAACAAGAGAAGATGGAATCAAATGGAATCAAGACAGACATGTTACAATTCATAAGGTGGAAAACAGAGAAGGTATTTGTATCAATAGAAACAGGAATGACATCCCCTATTTCAGGTTTAAAGGCTTTGTCAATCTATCATATATCTACTGCCAACAACCGAAATACCTCAAAACACCTGGACCAACAATACCAGGCGGTACATTACAAAAAAGAGAGAGTAAAGGTATGCACCATGGAAATGATTAACTCTGAATAAGCTTCATTCTGTCTCCTTTGCATTTGCACAATAGAAGGTTTACTAGACAGACGGTTTCATTGGCCGCCAACTCATGGAACTCATAATAAACAGGGCATAGTGCATTTCTTTGCTGGCCATATAAAGCAAAATGTCAGGAAGTCAATGGGAAGCAATCAGTTGACCAATACAATACAAATCAGATCCATTTCCCAGCATGCATCTCACCGTGTTTTTTTTCTCTACTCATAAACAGCACATTACACCATCAAAGCTGTACGCATATATCACAGAAAAGGTGCTCAATAGCTTCAGTTTGGTTACATTCAAATCTGGGATCTGAGATTTAATGTTTTATAAATTTGTCGGGCCTTTGATACAGTAGCTCACTGAAATACACCATTCCCTTTGCCACCACACACACACACACACACACACAAACAGCTCAGTATGTCAGGTTACAGTCTGCTTTTAACCACCTCTTTGGTTCACACAGCTTCTCCATTTCTTTTTTGTACTCTGGCTCTCACCCACTGAAGTGTCAAAATCTCAGCAAAGCCTAATCACAGATGCCGTCACGCCAATCGATGCAGTGACAGGGAGACATAGCCGAGAGCTCTGCGCGTTAAAAAGTTCACTCAAACAAATGCATGAGACATTTTTCAAGTCTGGAGACCAAAGTGTGAGATGTCAGCAGCCCGTTCAGAAAAGCATGCATTTTACACTTTATTTTCTAGAGTGTTTGCAGAATTATTTCGGATGAGGACACATCGCTTAGTCTGAGAGCATGGCGCACGAGCGTGTGAAGGAGTACACCATTGGAATCGGTGTAAAACTGAGTGTTGACAGTGTATGTCAAACTCAGAAGGTTCTGGAAGTAGTGGGGGGGCATTTTGGCTTAAGATGGTATGAAGCAGAGGTTTACAGCTTGTCGAGTTCTCGTCAGACTTGAACCATCGTGTTAAGGGAATAACTTCAGCAAGTAAGAGGTTTGAAAAGACATCAATTTCTATGGATTCTCCATACTCAGCTCGTGAACGCATCTACACAGTTAATATGTAAATCCGTAGTGCTCACCCACAGCTCTGCTAATCTGTGTTTTCCATGCCTGTAATTCTTTAGCCACACATAATGTCCCTATTTGACAAAACATTAATTTTCCTGCCTCTCAACATAAAAAAAAAAAAACATTAACATAGGACGCCACATCAAGATGAGTGGTCCAATCAACATATACTTATGGTGTAGGGAGAGGTAATTATTAGTCTTGTCTTGATTTCCATTTTTGACTGTTTTAATGAAACGTCTCTGCCAGTCCCCTAAAACAATATTAAGTGTGCTGTGGGCAATATGCAATTTTCTGAGCACCGAAAGATTTACTTGGATGGGAAAGGTTAAAGCCGGAATAATGGAACAACTACCAATGTCGCAGTACATAATTATTTGCTTATCACTGCACTGTCTCACTGGGAACTTTAATCAATGAGCAGAAAGAATGAGGAAATTCAAGGCAGATGTCCTGTTCTTGTAGTGCTCAGATGTTGGGGGGGTTGTGTTACATACATATTTATTCTGTGTCCACAAAAATACTCCACCAGCTTTCACGGTTGAGCTGGGAGTTTGAATTACAAAGCCTTTTCCCAATGCCACAACAAAAAAGGGTTTGGCGGAACTGAATGGTAAACGGAGCGATTTACGCGATGAAGACTAACAGCAGAACGGTGAAAGTGCTATATTGATATACGGATGTTTCCAGAAAGGAAAACTCATTTCGACCAAAGCTGATCCTCCACCCAAATCCAATCTTTTTGTGATGTACTGAACCAAGGTGAAATTTAATAGGGGAGCTAACTGCATCTTTGTTTTTCCTAAAGTACACATTTGAACACATTTTCTGCAAGGATGCTTTAAAAATGCAATTACTGTGACACATTATAACGTGCATAAAAGACCAAGTGCTCATTATGCTAATTATCCTTTTGTAAAATGCTCTGCAATATCCCCTTTACAATAATTTAACAGGTTTGAGTATTCAGCTAACGTAGATATTCAGGGATGCCCAAACATTTCTATCCAAGCAATATCCAAATACATATATATCCGATCGTGAGCTTCCCAAGCAGTGGTGGGATTTTATTAACTTACCTGACTGTCACCCCTCGAAACCAAGGGCATAGACTTGGGTATGGATGGTAGGGACATATCACTACAGTCTCAGAAAAAAGAGTACCCATTTGTACCTTTGCTTTAATTTAAGGTAAAGAAAAGGACTCTGAAGAACTTCCCAAAGGTACAAACAACATTAATATGCCATCAATGGTGCAGAAATGTTCCTCAGAGTCCATTTGTGAACCTTAAAAGTTACAAATACCTACAGCTAAGGGTACAACTGGCAGACCGTTGAGGGTACAGCCCCAGTACAAACTGGTACTCTTATTTCTGACAGTGTACCAATATTGCATGAGTACAGTATGTATTTAGTGGGGCGAGACGTTCTCGCCCCACTAAGTGTTGAAACTTAACCTACTCTCCAAGGCAGAAGAACAAGCACACAGCCACAGAGTGAACAATTCACCATGAGAGTATGCAGGGCACGCGAAAGTGACCGCTGTGAACGGACCCCGTTAGTGTGCTGTGGAAAGTGCAAGATGCAAGACGCAAGACCGTGTGCTACATCAGCGCAAACCTTCTGCCAATGAATATACTGTACCACCAACCCCCCCCCCCCCCCCCCCCCCCCCCCCCACACACACACACACACACAAACAAACACCCCCTCCCCAATTTGGCGTAAGATTAAATCAGCTGTTGGGAGGTCAGCTTGACAGTACCAGGCCTTGACCAGGGCGTGGTGGGGCATGACATTACAGACACAGGTATGGAATCATGGTTTATATGAAAAAATGCACAATCTCTTTTAACCTTTCCTTCTCTGAAAAGGTGACCTGATACAGAAGGATTCCTGGACAAATTCAAATCTCTTTCCGGAATTCTCTTTTAAAGCTAAAGGAATTAAAACATTTTGAAGATCAATATTTTTTCTGCTACTTATTTTGTCTGCCATCTGTTTAAAGCATGACCCAGTTACAGTCGTCATGTTACAGTCACGGCTTTTTGTTCATCAGGCTTGTCTAAAAGGAATATTTAAAAAATGAAGGTGTTTTTGTGTAAAAGGAAGCAGATGGGGTGTCATTCAATAAAAAAACACATAAAGGAATGAATGAATGAATGAATGAATGAATGAATGAAAAAAAATTAAATCCCATAAACAAAATTTTTGACAAATCCAGAAAGTCATTCTGTAATCTACACCAATGCATAATAAATTGCATCCCATCGTAATAACAAGCAACAAATCTATGTAATCTGCTTTGAATAAAGACCTTTAATAAACTACTGTGGCACTGTGAGAGCAATATAGAGCCAAGGATCAGAAAATGGGGACAAAACCATTTTTATTGATTTTGGTCTCAGTATAGACTTACATTTATTCAAACCAACATTTTTCATAAACACCACTTGGTGAACTGTCAGATTTTATCAACAGCCTAACCACATTGGGTCTTCTTAGAATTTTAATTAAAACCAATAAGATATAAGATCACTGGCTTCACATAGTAACAGCTGAAATATGAAAGAAAAAAGAAAAATACCCACGCTGATTTGTGCTGTAATGTACTTTTTGTAAGTACGTCAGTTCTAACATACCTGCATTTGAAAATAAATTTAAAAAAATAAATCAGTATAGACGCACCGCCGTTACCATGGCTACGCCAAGTTTGTTCCATTTGCGGCCGCAATAGTACATGTACTTCATTATGATAGATTATCAAGTATATGGTTTGCCGTTGCTGAGTCAGTTAAGACGCCGGGCAAGCTGGACATTTATTGTCCCAGAAAAGCATTCATTTATAATCTGTCCACAAGCCATTTGCTTGGATCCAGCGCTGCTATATAACGCAATATACGGCCATCCACCCACCGCTAACCTAATCGATATCAATTCCTCTGTCTTTCACCATGTATTGCAAATGAAATAAACTAAATCAACTAATATGGTTGCTGGCTCCTTCGAGCAGAGCATAAATTTTGAGGAAATTTTCTTTTTTAAATAAATATTTTCCCCGGAATATCTTCCAGAAAATACACTGACATTTTACCATTGTGTCCTTGTGTGTGTCTATTAATGTCCACTGTTACATTAGCGAATATAATCCATTCGATGTCCTCAGCAAAATATGTTTTCACTTTAACTTATTGCATGATTATGACTGAGTTTGTCAGTCCGATAAACTTGTATGTTCCCGACTGGACTGTTCATCAGTGCTGTGCATGGACATGCATTTTCATGCCAAGAACGAAGAATGCACCACAAACCAGGTCGCACACAGCATAGCCTATGCGATAAATGGATATATGAAGACATGAATACAAATGTTAATTTAAGCTCTTCGTCATTAAGAACTGTAATTATTATTTATCTAATATCCTTTAATTTCATGGGAATTAATTTACACACGCAAAGGAGTTCTTGTGCAGTTCTTAGAACTAGATTAAATGAAAAAACAAGCATTTTCATGAAGAAACCGATACCACGACAAATGTAATATCTCGAATCAAGCGAACACACACGTGTTTAGCAGCAAAAAATTGACCAGCACTTCTGTGCGGACAACGGCGCAAAAGGTCAGATATTTTTAGGGAGCGGTGTCTTTTCCACAGGAAAACCAGAACTTTAAAAGGCATGTCAAGTTCTAAACCCAACTCTGCAGTAAAATTGCCGGTGATCTGAGGTAGCCGTGTGCTGTTTAATGCAATAACAAACCACACATCTGCAATACATAGGCTATCAATAACTGTGGGGACACGATATACTGAGCGACATCTGCAAATTATAATTTAACAATAATTCATAACTTATTATAGGGCAAATAATAATAATAATAACAATAATAATAATCATAATAATGGGTTTCCAAAATCACTTTCATGCAGTATATATTTGTCGGTGGGTTAAGCAGTTGTAGACGTTCATTCTTTCAAAATGCCATAGAAAAATACAGTTATATGTCGATAATTGGTTGCTCTATTGCGCAGTCAAACGATTTTTCCAGGTCCTTTTTTCTCCCATTATAGACAGTGTCCTGTCAGTAAGATATCATCTGGACTTAGGACGCGAAACTTGTGTTGAACTGATGTCCTTCGGACCAGTTGAGTTTTACTGAAATGCCCATCAGTTGTTTTTATTGGAGTTAATATTGCGTTCGTCCATGCAGTGTCACTCTCTCTCTCTCCAACGAATGTTGGACTGTTTTCAGTTAGTGATCTTAGGAGCAGCAATATTAATGTTCAGAAAATTTACCGGTGGATTTTGCCTATTTACAGCAGATGCGCAAAGCGGCATTCACATTGCACACCGAACGCAAGAGCAGAACCAGGTAGCGCAGAATCTCATTCGTGAGCATCCATTTTTATAACCATAACGTAAAATGTTTTGCACTTGATATCTCTTTCAGTGCCTGCAGCATTTAAAGCGTATGAGTTTGTGAAAAGCCTTTTTAAAATCTTCATTTGACATAGTATAAATGATCGGATTGATCAAGGAGTTTAAGTAGCCCAGCCAGGTGAAGAAATCGAATAATTCTGGGTAGAAAGTGCATGTACTGCATAAAGGCACAAGAAGGGTGTAAATGAAGAAGGGTAACCAACATATTATATAGGCGCCGAGGATTATTCCCAGAGTTTTTGTGGCTTTCTTCTCTCGTGCGGCGGATATTCTCTTTTTGTCCAAGAGACTATCGGACACTGTGACTTTGACCTGCCAGACGTGAGCTGGCGAGCAGGTTTCGGCTGCGCTCGTTTCCTGGGTCCTGTAGTTCAGGGGCGACGTGGAGGACTCCGATCCCGGGGAGTTTGTGATCAAGTGAGCTGAAGTCAACCTTTTTCCAGCTTTCGACGGGCAATTTTTGAAAATCCTCCTGCGCGCTTCGATGTAGATCTTCCCGTAAAGTGCAATCAGCAGAAAAGTCGGGATATAAAACGCCCCGAAAGTAGAATAGATCGTGTAGAAAATGTGATCCGTATTTACGCTGCAGCTCGTAACTTCTTCCACTTTTTCCTGACGCCAAAATAATGGAGGCAGTGATATTGAGATTGCAATAACCCAAGCGGTGGCGATCATGCCAGCAGCCCGGGCTGGCGTGCGCTTCTTCGCGTATCCCACTGCGTCCGTTACCGCCCAGTAGCGATCCAGCGCAATTACGCACAGATGGAGAATGGACGCTGTGCAGCATGTAATGTCCGAAGACAACCAAATGTCACATAAGATCTGACCCAAAGTCCAAGTGTGACTTACCGTGTATATCACGCATATCGGCATCACAAGCACCGAGACTAATAGGTCCGTAACTGCCAATGAAGCAATGAGGAAATTGGCAGGAGTGTGAAGTTTCCTAGACTGAGAAATAGTCGCTATAACGAAAGCATTGGATAATATCGTGGCTATAGTTATGATGGACAGAATGACGGTTATACTTGACTGGAAAATCAAATTCACGCCATCTTCTTCTCTTTTGGTGGCGGTGCAATTCTCATCGGTTTCGTTGACAGAGCAGTTATTCAACATTAAACCGTAAACGGAGGACGTTGGGTTCAGCTGACTGGAGCGCTCCATCGTTTTCATGTTAATCTGCGTGCCGACTGCACTCGAGGCGACAACATCGTTAAAATCTGTATATATGGTTCAAAAAAAGTCCGAAATTTGTTTCCCCCCGCAATTTCAGCTTAATTTGAATAGCTGGTTAACCGAAACTCAGATGCATCTTAAACATGATATTCCGTCATTTTGTATGATTTCCCCTATAGTTATTTATGTTCCATTCTTATTAAGATAATGCATTTTTTTTTTTTTAGATTTTAGATCAAATGGTCAAAGGCTGGAAAAATGATAGCCTTTATCGCTCCTCCGCAGTTATTAGTTTTAGTTCTTTTTTTTCTTCTCAAACTACCAAGTAGGTATATTGCATTTCACTACTGCTAAAGTTGGGCAGATGAGCTAGTAGTACGTTAACCGTTGTCTCTTCTGTGGAAAACTATCAGCTTTGCCTCCAATGCCTTTTTCCTCTACACAGTGAGTGCGATCGGGGAGCGCCTGGGTCATAGTGCCGTGCTTTTTTCAGCCCTGCCAAGTGCAATAGGCTGTCCTTTTAAACGGAATGTACTGCATGTATCTCAGTATAAAAAGCTCAACCCAAAACGATACAAAACCTAACTGCACGCCAAGGTGAAAAGTGCCTGTTAGGCGAATTTTTTTTTTAAAACATCCTTTATATATCATCAGCAACTTAAATGCAGTGCAAAAGAAAAATACTGAGCTGGAATTTAAAGTGAGTAATTATCATCAGTCTGACAGATAAAAAACACGGTAATGGGTCTACTTTAACAAACGGTAACTGATAAATTTGTGTTTATTTATGAAGGTACTCACAAAACAGTTAAATGTGATAGTTTACAGATGAATAACGGAGAATGAATTGGGTCATCTAAAACCAGTACACAGTGCCACACGCAAAAAAACACTTAAGGAAACGCAGGTTTGTATTGCTATCAAAACAAACTGCATGTTATTTAAACTTGTGGTGATCCAAAGCCCTGGATTATGACTTCCAGAACACCATTCAATCTCTTAGATTTCTGTATGATTATGCTGAAACTAAGGTGCATGTGCCAATCAGCACTTGGTGTCAGGTTGGTGCCCGGCGTGAACTTAAATGGAAAACAACAATGATAATGGTTGAGAAAGTTCCCAAGATGATTTTGGAATAGGGACACATTTGTTCTAAAACAGCGCCACACATTTAAATGTGGAAAAACCCTGCTATTCTTAGTTTTTCCCATTGGGGGGGGGGCTATTACTGAAGCAAAAAAAATGTTCTGCTGCACCATCAGTCTCACCATGCTGAGAAATACATCTTGCAAGAGCAGCTGAAAATGAATAAAATAAACATATTACTGCTAGGATCATAGAAACAGCAGTACATTGGTAATCGTAGTCAGGAGATTATTAACGTAGTATTAATGCAGATATGAAAGCTAGCCGCAGTAAGCCTTACTCTGATGGTGAGTCTGTAAAGACCTGAATGGCCAAAGCTGCACGATGTCATGACTAGATGGAGGGACAACCCAGAATTCAGCCTTTGGTGGAACTGAAGGGCTTTATTGGAACAAAGACACAACCAAATGGAAACAAAAGGATAACGAGGGATCAAACAAAGGCAGGGAGGAACAATACAGAGAGATTAGGGCCAATCTAAGAACAGGAGCGAGGTGTGGGGCACTACTAGCATACACACACTAACAGAGGGGAACTGAGCAAAACCAGCACTAACCATTATCAGGACCTAAGATGACATTAATGGCTGAGCTGGGGATCTTGGAGAGGTCAGACACATATATACACTGATACAGATACAGTACTTAACCAGGGACAGGTGCGAGAGATTGATGCATTAAGGAGGAGCGGCGTGACCAGCGACATCTGCTGGCCAAAACAGAACATGACAGGGACAGATCATGACAGATTATTCTGCGCCATGAAAAATGGCAGGTGTTCACTAATGTAAGTGATGAGAAGTGCAGCTGCAGGCAGAATTTGAGATTTCAGTTATTTTCGTCTGTTTTCTTTATTCACTACTAGGCTACTTGGTGAACAAGTACACTCAGAAAAAAAGGTAAAGATTTGTACCTTTGCTTGGCACTGGGGCTGTACCCTTGTAGTTGTAGCTTTTAAGGTACACAAATGGCCTCTGAGGAACATCCCTAAGGTACAAACAGCATTAATGTACCATAATTGGTACAGAAATGTTTCTTAAGAGTCCGTTTCTGTACCTTAAAAGGTACAATTACCTACAGCTAAGGGTATAGTTGGCAGATCCTTGAGGGTATAGCCCCAGTGACAAGCAAAGGTACAAATTTTTACACTTTTGAAAGCGTAGGCCTACAGGTCTATGGTGAATAATGGCGTAAAATTCACTGAATGGCAGTTATAGGGTTTCCTTACAGAAACTAAGATTGCAGGCAAGTAAAACTCTGTCTGAGTGTCACAGTTTGGTATCTTTAATTTTGCATTATGCTGGTAATTGTGTTTTGATTAATCTGCTGTAATTTTCTGTAATCATCTGTGAGGGTAGCCTAGCAAACCAGAGTTACAAAAAACCATCAAGGGGGGGTGGAAAATATTGATTGGGGATCCGACTTCATCAAATTCTGATTTTGACCCCAACCCAGATGTTAAAGTTGTTAATGTGCTATTATCTTACTACACATAAATCAGTTCACTTGTGTTTGGATGGACGGCCCGTTAAACAAATTGACTACAGTGTTCCCAAAAATATCATATAAAAGCTGCCATCCATTTTATGATACATTTACCTTGTCAAACTGAGGCAATCAATAAAACCTACACTGCAATTCAATTTTTTAAGCAGGCCTAGTTGTCCAGGTGCATCTTCATTTTGAGCAGAACGGCATGCCTGCAACTGATATTGTAGCCTAATTTACTGATCACACACCACAGTTTGCTGACAGAATGACAGGTTTATTGCTCTCAATTGATATTTAGCATTTACATTAATTAAAATGTTCAATTGTGGTGCACAGCTGTGATTATAATTAATATACATTTAAAAAATTGGATGTCATCTCCCCACTGGTTAGTGAATCATATATACTGTAGTTTAAAAGCACACCTGTAAAATTGATGACTCAGAGTTTTTTTTTTTTTTACTTATTCATTTTCATTCATTCTTTTTTTATTGAGACTGTGTTGTGGCTTATCCGACGTACCACCCCTACATTATTACCCTTAAGGCCATTTCAGGATGGTGGTGCAAGACCATTTTCAGTGTTTTGCTTCCCATGGATTATCAGAACGAAACAGCACTTGGTATTGAATTTCCAAATGCATATTTCAAAACCCGTGAGCCGGTTGAAAATTGAAAATGCTGTTGGATTACAAAACAGCACAGGAAGATGCAAATGGAAACCGTATTAGATGCTTCAACACCAGCGAGGTCAATGCGCAATTGAAGTACACTAGGATACCCATAATTCAGCACAGTGGGTCTGCCAGCTACTCCTGTTTCCACTTTCTGTCAAAAATTAGGCTTGACTCCTACTTGACCAGCATCCTAACATCTTCGAGTGATACAGCAGATGCAATTTCTTGATACATTTACGATACGATGTTTTGCTTTAAATCAAGCCTTTTTTGCTAATATTTTCTAATAATAAAGGATATGAATAACACACTTAAGGAAGCTTCTGTGCTGTGTATCATATCATAGCAGGACATTTAACTCATACGATAAATCACCACTGTCTACACATGACAAGTGAAGTTAAACTTTGAGCCTGTTCCCAAGGGAATATAGCACCCATTGTCAGTATTATTCCCTGCCTGGCCAGCAGGTGTCGCTGGTCAGCCCTTTCCTAGTGTTTGTGTCCTCTGTGATTATGACCCTCACCTGTGTCTTGTTGTTCCCAGCCCTAATGTGTGTGGTTGATTGTAATTGGCCCACACCTGTTCCTTGTCTTACCCTCGCTATCTGTGTTTATATGTGCCTGCCCTTGTGCTTGTTTCTCAGTCGGTCATTGTGTGTTTGTAGCTGTTCTTGCCCTGTGTTTGTTGCTTATTTGCGATGGTTGTTCCTGTGTTGCTCCCTTCCTTAGTATTTGTGATTTACCTGCTTTATTCTGACCCATCGTGGTCCTTTTCCTTCTGGTATTTTTTTTATAATTTAATCTCCCCTGTTTGTTGGAGTCTCTTCCTTCACCATACCTGTCCGTAACACCTACAAGAATAAGGATGACCTGAAATCATATTATAGCTGATGATCACGTTTTTAAAATTTCAACCCGAAACTGCAAATCAACAGAGCATGCAAATAAAGCTAGATCTTTATACAAATGTAACTGATTATTAGTTATTAATAACATTACAGCTACAAGTAGGTATAGATACATGGAGCACCAAGAGTTGAGTTTTACACCCTAGAGGCAAAATGCTAGTGAAGATAGAGAGGAACAGAAGGAAACCTACAGTATATAAAGATGTCATAGCTGGATATATTATGCAAGAAGGATAAAAGTATGGAATGAGGGTTTCCAGATTGATGTATGTGTTTAATTCTGCACGTGGCTGGTGCCACAACCTTAAAACAAGGTTTGTTTTTAATTAGATCCCCGGTTCCCAATCTGCTGCAGGTTCCAGATGTTCTCCCCAGAAGGAATGTGCACTTAGTACTTCAGAAATTTTGGTCACATAAGAATATTTCACGCACCTTTGCTCTATCTGCAGCTGCCCGCCATTCCAAGTTATTTCGCATTTACCAAAATTGCTGAATATACAGGTACAGGTGGGGTATGAAAAATGTTTTAGTGATGTCAGGTATGACATGTAGGGCATCGGGTCTCCTGCATGCCAAAAGGGTTCCTTCTCTGAAACAGAATTACCCATTCAGCCAAATAATCACTTTGTGCTTTTCACTGAAACTCCAAAAATTACAAGAACAATTATATCAAGTCCTTAAACCTTCAGTCCAAATCGGCATTAAACAAAAAGGCACTGTTGTCCACAGTCTGACCCACCACAGGCAACAATCTCACAATCAATAAATGACTATAAATGGCTCCATCACACACATTCACATACTGTCTTCACATGACGTATAGGCGTGTCAGACAGAGGCCGGTCAAAGCAAAGGCTTGAAGCAAAGATTAATACAAAAACAGACAAAAAAAATCTATAGCTATTTTCCCCAACACTGTGACAAATTCAGGCAAGTAAACTCTACATATTCAGAACTGTTGAAGACACCGTTAAAGAGGGGATGGTAGATTGATGCTGAGGTGCACGCAAGGGAATTACGTCTATTCTGTACCAAATACCAAACTTTATTTGTTTAGTGCGAAAATTTGTGCCAGATCTAAAGAAAACTGCAGCTTCCAGGCAAACAGCGGCATTAAATTTTCCAAGGAGTGTAGCCCCCCCGCCACCCCATGCATTTCCTCTTCAGAGTGAATTACAGCTTTATCTCAACAACCACTCATACATTTTTATAGGAGCTCGATATTTTAACAGAATATAACTTTTTTTCCAGCATGAAATGTTGAGGATACACTGTCTGCTTCGCTCCAGCACTGTCTGGAGATGAAAGTGCCTATTTCCACAAAGGGTGAAGACTCAGCTCTCGTTCCACAGTTCTTCTGTTCTCAGGTCTGACATTTTTGTCCCCTTTTACTGTCTCCATAGCAGAAAGCATCCTGCATTGATGATGCGCTGTACGTGTGTTTATTCTGTAAGACAACAGATAAAATACAACAAGCTAAACAATCAGGGGCAGACTAACTCCTCTGGGGGTCCCCTAAGGGGGGCCATTTGAGCTAATTTTTGGAGCCAAAAGAGAAACAAGTGGGAATTAAAAAACAATGAAACATCAATAATATGCTAATCAAAGCACAGGATGCCAGAGGGAAAACCTACCGATCAGGGTGGAGGCGGGAGCGCTGTCGCTGAAAGTTGCCTATTGGGGGGAATCACCTTGACGAATCGATTGGCCAAATTTAAGACCCATCCATTTTCTGTAACCACTTATCCCATTCAGGGTCATGAGGAGGTGGGGGTTAGGGGCTGATCCCAGACTGCAGACACGGGGTGGAGAGCAACCCAGGGCACACACCATTAACTCACATATGCACACTTACAGGCAATTTGGCAGCTTCAATTAACCAGGGGGAACTGGAGCACCTAGAAGGAACTGTATGATAACACGGGGAGAACATGCTAACTCCACACACCGGGAACCCTGGCGGATGCATGTCCTATAGGTGCGAGATAACAGTGCTAACCACTGCACCACTTTCGCCACCGCAGATTAAAAATATTTCATGTTATTATACAGTAGATTATAATATCAGAACCAAAATAGTTATAGAAATGATTTGTGGTGGACATTTGATCTATGCGTTGTGAGATCAACAGTCAAGTCGAACAAGTCGAGATCAATAGGGGACCCCCCCAGAATGTGGGGCCCAGGGTTCTTCACCTTTCTGTCTCCCCCCCCTCCCCCCCAAATTCTGCTCCTGTACAAAATCCATCTATCCTGCTCAGGGTCAGGGAGCGGCCTGAAGTCTCTCCCAGGACGCCTTCTACCTACTGCCAGTGCAAAAGCAACTGGTCAAAAATATGTGCAGGTATTTGTTTTATCATTTAGTATTTTGGCTATTTGTGAGAAACTAACCAGCCATGGAAAAATGTAATAACAGAGGAGAAGGTAAAAATAATGGCAGCGGCACGTACAACACGTGCAAAATGCGACAAGCTTTAAGAATCCAGAACGCTGAGCCATTCCAAGCATCGCCGTTAATTAAACACGTAGATATTTACATTTGCTTGTTTTTTTAACCAACATTCCCAAAATATCGGCAAAAGACAAATACATTTATTTTGCCAAAGAGTTTTTAAAAGGTTCCCAAACTACCTGCAGTTCTTTGCGCGCCCATGTCGTGAATCCGAAGAGATTCTCCAGGAGCCGCATGCTCTGAGCAGAGCTTTTGCCCAGAGGGAATATCATCGTAATTCAGCAAGCGTAACAGTTAATCTTCAGAGCCTCCTTCCCCCTACGGCACTCTGATTATTTATCCGGATGTTTCCCTTTAAGGAGTCTCTCTTCTTGCTGACAGCTAGCTTATTTTTGCCCCCTCCCCAAACCCCCGCCAGTCCTTTAACCCTCTGTGTTTATTTTCTTATCACAACTTTGCATCCAAATCATTTGCTGAACGATGCAATGTGTCCAGATCTCATTTCACTCATTGTTTTCATCTGGTCTCATTTCTCAGCATGTTAAATCTTGTATCCAAAGACATTTTTTTCAAGACGCCTGTCTTAGAAAACCAAACGCCACAGGTGTATAGATTTTGTAGATGATTTATAGTTTATCTGATTATATCGGTTGGTGCTATTCATTGCCAGTAGATTTAGCATGTAAACGTGTGTTTCTCACTCTGTCATCTCAAGCTCCGTAAACATCCTCTGTAAAATTTGGCAATCTACAACAAGAAGAAAACTGTGTTTTGGTGCACTCAAAAAGACACACAGGGAGTTCCTGAATACGAATTTGTAGAAGAAAAACCTATGTACAGAACTAGTAGCATAATGGCAGCACGTCTACAGATCAGGATAGCTATAGAACCCACAATTAGTCATATTAACCAGATCTATTATATATCATAGTCACACAAAGGATTGGGTTCAAAATGGAAAGTTTATTCATGGATTATGGGGTTCAGAGGCAAGAATTGGCTATAGGTGAAAGGTCTGTCCCTCTCATATTACAATGATGTTAGAAAAAGACTGTCCTGCTAGTTGGCTGATGGTGGACAGACCCTTAATAGAGTGGCTATGCTAGGGGATTTCCTCAAAGATGCATTATAGTGGAAAGGAACTGCTCTCATACAGGACAGCATCATCATACTCCCAATGCCAAACAAGAGGAAGGTTTGTTATGTGTAAAATTCACAGGCCACTCCCACAAGAGGAGTCTAGGGTAGCTGAATGACATCTGTCCAGATCTCTAGGGACCCAGAGACAAGGCAGCACAAACAGCAACCATGTGGAAGGACGTATGTAGAAGTGACGGCAGGGATGAATGGTGACAGTGACAGAAATTCAAACAGCTGGAAAAATGTCTGTATTTCTAATTCACTTACAGATCTGTTCACCTAAACTAGAAACACAAGCCTTGTCCTTAAAGCCCGCGGTGTGAGAATGTGTAAAATCTAGCTGAGCACACGACCGAGGGAATTGGCTTCCTAATTCGACTAATTTAGCTCATTCTGCTGAGCTGGACGGACGCTTAGGGGCAGGAAACCTCAACACAGATCCTGTAACAGAGACCTCTGATGTCAAGATATTAAATAATAAATCAAAGCGCAAATAAAGCTGAAGATTGAAATTACATTAATCGGGCTACACATATCATTACAAATGACCTTGGGGGACACGTCTGTATTAACTGTCAAGAATATGTTAACAAATTAAAGGTGTTTAGGCAGTTATGCTATGACACGCGCTTCAGCAGTGGGTGACATCCTGGGTTGCAGAAAGTGGTACAAATCAATGTGGGATTTTGGAATGAGGCACAAGTGCCACAATGACCCTTCTACCGGAATCTCCAAGCAAGAGTGGAATACAAATGAAATCCACCATATGGGCTCTGAGAACGTCCTTCCTGGGAGATGTTAACAGACACGTAGGAACTCTGGGTCCCGGTTCCCAAGATGCTTGATGCACAGGACACACACTGCATTAACAACTAAAGGAAGATCCAGTCTGCTCTGCACAGGGAGGACCTACCACAGCCAATGCACGTTGCTGTAGCTTCAACTTTAAAGTTTGTTTGTTAGATAGTTAAATAGTATGCATTTTCATTCCCCCCCCCCAAAAAAAATTATATATATTCTTGAAAAATTTTTATTCCTTTGTATATCTGGAAGCTGCAATTTGATTTGGATTTGGCACAAAATTCATTACTAAACAAATAAAGTTTCCTATTTGGTACAGATTAGACATAGACTCCATTGTGTGCACCTTAGTGTCAAAATGTATTTTGCCATCCCAAATTGCTTATTATGGACAATCACAAGATATACAGTACAATCGATGCGATACGTAATATGTCCCAGGATCACACCTGTGAAACCTACACAGAGTCCCTGTTACGACAAGAAGCAGCAGGACACCTGGGGAACCAACGATAAGAATAAACACTGGGAGCTTTCAGCTGATATGGGGGATTTATCCCCAGTGTGCATGCCTCCGTCGTCACAGCTGGTCCCAAGTGGAAGTCCTCGACATCACTGTTTAGCAAAGGCATCCATATTTGTCCGCAGTGATGAACTGCGTTTTAGTCAGCGGGTTGCTGACGCCTCTCCAGCCTCCCTCTCCCTAAACACTTCTCCGTAACTTTGGCTCGAAGCGGCTCAGCACCTTATCAGATGCCGAGGAGCTGGCGAATCTTGTGCCATGAAAAAAAACATTGGGTTTTGGGACATCGTTTGCTTATTTCTTCACACTTCAGAGGAGTTTGTATCACAAAAAAGCCACAGTGCTTTCAGGGGTGTTATATTTGTTTAAAAAGGCAATAATTAATCCCTTTTTCTGCAAATCAGCACAAAATGATACTGAAGCCACCACAGTAGCTGGTGTTGAAATTAATTGATCCCTGAGGCATATTTGTTTCAAAAGCAAGCACCTCATCTTTGAAATACTGATTTCCAAAAAGGGGGGTGGTTCTGTAAGATAGTGGACATACAATCCAATGACTTGCTGGTAACTTTCTGAATGGTAGCAGTCTGCTGTAAAGGACTGAGGTGGTCAGGCTGAAGTGTGTGATTTCCAGGAGAGCATGAATCAGGGAGGAGGTGCCGACTTCCTGGAGACTCGGGGAACTTCCAGGAGTGATGGCTGGTCCGCAAGCGACTTCTGCAAGGCCAGTGCAAAATACTCATTGGCTGAACTCATGACGGAGCGAGCTGACCGCTCTTGTAAACAAAACATTCATCAATAAAACAGTTACCCCCAAAAAAACACAAGAGACAGAAAAAGTAGCAATGCTCTATATGAGGCCCTCGCCCGCTTAGAGAAATGCTGCAGTAAATTTTCACTCAAATCAATTAAACAACTTCTAAAGTCAAACCTATAAGGGGCTGTAGCTATTGACACAATCTGTAAATAGAATTATTGATCTTCACTCCTATTAAACACAAACATAACAAACAAATGAGATTAAAATGTCAATCTGCCAGCCTGTTACAATGTAACCCCATCCACCTCGGAGCCCAACACAGACACAACAGGCTGATTTTCAATCCCACTTATTAGTGGACCTTGCAAGCGTATATTAAAATGTTTGTGGCAGGATGTGGGTTTACATATTAATCGCATTAATCAATATAGGCTTAAATAGTATTGTAGGGCTGGCAAGATGGCTTCACATAGTGGAGCCCATTTGCTTTTCCCAACATGCTTGTGTGCCTTGCAAATAGCACCTGTGTGTGTGTGTGTGTGTGTGTGGATTATGTTTATATTGCATTGTAAGGACCGAATGTCCCCCACAATGTGGTAAACACCTGTTATTCTGATGTTGTGGGGACCATTTTTCAGGTCCCCACAAAGATCTGTGAATGCAATCAGTGAATCGTCTGAGCAATCAGGACGGCCAGCACCGTGAGCACAGTGTCAGAGTTGTGGTTGATGTAAGGACTACAATAAACAAAGCGTCCTCTTTAAAACCACCTCACCTCCTCTCTTTCCTGCCACCGCGATACCTGAGTCTGCTCAGCGCCATGGTGAAACTGGCCTGCCCATGACATGTATATTAGCAGCTGTCCCACTGTCAGAAAAAAGGGTACAGACCAAGGTACAAACAACAATAACGTCCCCACAATGGTACAAAAATGTTCCTCAGAGTCCAATTCTGTACCTTAAATGGTACATTTGCCTACAGCTAAGGGTACAATTGGCAAACTCTTGAGGATACAGCCCCAGTGACAAGTAATTGTACCCTCAAAGATAAAAATTGGTACTATTTTCTGAGTGCTCAGATTTTAGGAGACATTAAATCCAAGCAACGCGATTCACACATTTAATTCCACATTCACACCACTAGTGATCTCCTGAACTCTCTTCCAAGAGAAGCAAAATGCAAGAAAGATATTGCCAAATTGAACTGCTGGCAGGTACAGTGCTCTTTGAGTGCCCGAGACTTCAGAGAGAATCTCGCTGGCATGCAGGAGAAATATGAACAGTGGTCTCACATGGCCCCATGGCCTGTTCCAGCCAAACTCAAGTACTTACGAGGAAGTGTTTAACCGCTGTGCTCATCCTGGAGAATTCATGTGGTACGGATGGGTCAGCTTTGCCTTATATGCAGGCAAAGGCATCAGTTAGATGTCCACTGGCGTCAGATGAAATTCCGCAGGGTAGTCTCCCAGATCTAGTGGGCAAACACTTCAATATAAGATGGATATGTCCTCTTGCTTCTTACTGCTGTTTCATTATGTCTATGGGGCCAGGGACACAAGTCACATTGCTTTCATTTCCATGCCCAATCTAGGTAAAAAAAAACGTACAAAGCACGTTCCATCAATTTGCCTGCGGTGCAGAAATGCTACAATGCTGAATCCTTTCTGCGATGCCAAAATGTTCTTGTTTTATTAGCTAGGCTAATGGTACCTGTACCTTCTTCTGTACTGTTTCTGCAAACGCAAGGCAGATTTTACTGTATATAGCAGAACAGAGAGTAATCTTTTTCAGTTCATGCTAAGGATATTAGTGATTACTGACTTTGGGGGCACAAATTTTCCCTGTAGTCTGTTACAAAACACAAGTTATTCATAATTGCCGACAATTCAGAATTTTTTGTCCCCTCTCTGTGCTCCTGTTCGCCACTCAGAAGGGAACGTACGGACCGAAAATTCACCTCGAGAGTTTCTAGCCATTCATCAATGTCGTCTGATTATACCGGCCAGAAAGATGAATGGATGAAGGCAGCAAGACTTCGAGAAGTTTTATCAGGATTTAAAAATAATTTTCTTGCAAAACGAGAACTAGCCGCAGCACATTTTGGTAAAGAACAGTAATAAATAAATCAATAAATCCAAGCATTCAAGGTCAGTGGCAATTTTAAGGCAATGCATGACAACAAGGACCAGGGCACTGACTTATCAGAGCAGAATTGTGGTATACTGCCTCTATAAGGCTAGCGAGGAAGAAAGCAAACAGAATCATGTGTTCTGCTAGTCCTCAGCCTGACTCTTCATATATGCTGACAGGATAACAGTCCCATTACATTTTTAAAAACAATGTTGCATTTGTTAGCCAGCTGGACCAGAGCATCTCCTAAGATACGGTATTTAGCTCTGATCAAAGGAGAGAGTGAAGCAGGGAGGGACCTGAGGTGCTCAACAGAACTAAAATGTGAGGCAGCTGCTGGGCCATTGTTGTTTGTTTATACATTTTGAAGGATTGAGATAGTGTTGGTTAACCCTGTAGGCCACATAGGAGGCCGCCTAGGGCGGCATCTTTCATTTAATCTGCTGTAGGGGGCGCCGACATAACAAGCTGATTTTACTTTGTCTTCTATAGGGGGTGCTGATTTAGCCGAGTTGACTTTGACTCTTATTGGGGGGGTGCCGATTTAGCAAGTCAAATTCACTTCCTCGACCTTAGGGGGCATCAAATTAGCAAGCCGATTTAATTTTGTCTCCTATAGCGGGCGCCAACTTAGCAAACCAATTTCACTTTATCTCAGATAGGAGGGGGGGCGCCTGTGGTGAAATTTGCTTAGGGTGCCAAACGGGCTTCAATTTTTACTGGATCTAAAGGTCACATTCACAAGATGCTCTTGGTTAATAAATGAAACGGAACTTCAAAACCACTGTGATTGGCTGTTGCTCAGCCTATAGTATCCTCCTGGTTATAGATTTCAGGAGAAGACCTCCTCAGAATGCCTCACTGACCATCGACGGCCTTACTGTGAAGAGGGTGAGAACAACCAAATTTCTGGGGGTGCATATCTCTGAGGGTCGCTGCTGGACCAATAACACCACATCACTGACCAGGGAGGCACAAACACGCCTCTACTTCCTCCGCAAACTGAGGGGGGCGAACGTTCCACCCCCCATCATGCTCTCTTTTTACAGAGGCACTATTGAGAGTATCATCACTGGCTGTATGGCTGTGTGGTTCGGAAGCTCTGCCTCCTGCCGTAAGGCTCTGCAACGGGTAGTGAACACAGCCAGCAAGATCATCGGCACCTCCCTGCCCCCCCTGACGGACACTCTCCATACCCTCCTCACCCGAAGGGCCATCAGCATTGCTGGAGACTCCTCACACCCCTTACACTCCCACTCCAGCCTCCTGCCTTCAGGGAGACGGTACCGGACCCTCTGGGCTCCACAAGACCCTTAAACAGCTTTATCCACCAGGCTGTCAGGAGGCTGAACTCTGTCCATTACCCCCCCACTCTGCCTCCTGCCCCTGGACAGTAATTTATTCACTGACTACCTCAAGAACTGTTTACACTTATATGTTTCCGCTGCTAATTTGAATTTGACTTGTATGATTGCTACCATTTGCACTCTATTGTTCACCATTTGCATCACTTCCTTATCTATGTTTACCATTTGCACAACTACCTTAATATTATTACCCTTTGCACAACCACCTCTTCTACTCTTACCATTTGCACAACTGGCTCTTAAATTGTTATCATTTGCACTTTGTCGATATGTCTCTGGCCTTGTCAGTTTGTCCTGTGACTTGTTATCTGTCTTTTTGTATAGAATATCTATTTTTTTTGTAATTGGACGGTATGTACGCACACCTGTGAGCGAGGAACGGCATTTCGATTCTCATGTATGTGTTGCACATAAAATGTGAATTGACAATAAAATATCTTTGATCTTTGATCTCCTACAGCTTCAGGGTTTGATGGGGAAAGGAGAACAGGACTGACTGACAACTTCTCAGGATTGTAAGACCAGGCCGACATTCCTGCTCTGTGCTCCCATCTGGAACTCAGGCTACATCCCAAAATCCTTGCTTGGCCCACCCTCCACCCCGGGAGATTTTACAAATTCTAAATTGCAGATGTTGAAGTGCTAATACCTTAGGGCAGGGGTGTCAAACTCCAGTCCTGGGGGGCCAGAGCCCCGTGTACCTTAGTTCTTTCCCTGTTCCACCACAAATGATTCAGCTTAAGAGCTGTGCGATAATTAGCACAAGGAGTTGATTCAGGTGTATTAAATGAGGGGAAACCCAAAAATGTGTGGGACTCTGGCCCCCCAGGACTGGAGTCTGACACCCCTGCCTTAGGGAATGAATAATCGAGGGTTGATTTTCACTCAAATCACCCCTTCGCTGTGGGTGTGTGGAAGTCTAGCTGAGAGTACCTTGGTATGATTTTAGATCAGTCTTTGTCTTTTGATGCACATATTAAATCACTTGTTTCATTCATTTAAGACAAATCTCCAAGCTCCATACAGTAGTCTCTAGAGCTGAGCTTGAAATGCTTATTTTTGCTTTCATCTCCTCTCATTTAGATGACTATATTGCTTTTTTTCGGGACTGAATAAGTCTTCAGTCTTCCATCTCCAGTTCAAAATGCCACAGCTAGGCTTCTAACACGTTCTAGAAGAAGGCTGCACATGACGCCTGTTTTGTCATCTTTGCACTGGCTTCCTGTTGATTTTAGGATAAGGTTTAAGATCCTGATGATTACCTATAGGGTCCTGCATAGTCAAGCCCCAAAGTATGTAACAAATCTCCTTAACAATTATGAAACTCGATTGCTCAGATCTCAGGAGAAAAGGCTGTCAGTTGTTCCACGCACCAAGTTAAAGACCTGTGGTGACCGTGCCTTCCAGTCTACTGCCCCGAGGTTACGGCTACTGCCCTGAGGTTACCGAATGATCTTCCTCATTCGGTATGTGCAGCTTATTAAGTCGATTCTTTTCAAAGAATCTTAAGCATAGTCTTAAAACCTTTTGGTTAGATTTTTTTATTTTATTTTATTCTTATTATATTTTTTATTGTTTATGTACTGTGAGGTTGATTGCTTTGGACTTGTACAGCGCTTTTCTGACTCTTGTCTGTGATACCCATGCTTGACGTGGCACAAAAGCTTCTACGTCATTCATACATACATGGTAAGTTATCAAGAATGCAAGTGTGTCCCGATGCCACTTTTGTCCACGCTGCCTTCCTTCCTCGCTCATTCCTTTACTCACCAGCTTCATGAACTTTGAACTTTAGACAATGAGTCACCGAGGCGGTGGAGTGAGAGCCGTCAAAAACAGTTTTGGGATGTAGCCTCAGAGCATTTCATGCACAAGCTTCATTTACATATGCATTTATGTTTATGGGTATATATGCAAAATTTAATTTGATATGTTACATTCTCACTCTATTTTTAAGATTGTCCACTTAGTATGTTATAGATTTGATTGTTCATCGGTACAAGATTTCATTTTCATCATGAAAATCAGTAAACATAACCCTTTCAAACAAATACAACACTTTGTTAAACTTAAAAAAGTCTTGAAAAACTGAAAATCTCAGCTCAGGTGCAAAATTAGATTGATTAACCTTCAAGCCAGGAATAATGAAGAGTAACACCAGAGCATAAATATTAGGGAATCATTTTTTTAAAATATGAAGTGTAAAACAGGTCACACTCATATACGGCATCACGATGAAGACATTTATGACAAAAACATGTTTATTTATGACATCCCATCAGGGATGAGCATAGGGTGAGGGTGGGTGTTGCGTCGCTCTACGAAAAGCCATGATTCATCACAGTGAAATGTCTTCCAAGATCTGAGAAATGGGTCAGCGTCGGCTCATTAGAACCATCACCAGCCTGCTATCCGAATGGCGAGAGATACCACAAAACACGGCGCAGCTGCATTTTTAATTATTGTCTCAGGAAACGATTTGCTCACCAGGTGGAGCTTCACATCCAAAAGAACTGCGTTTAACAAGGTCGTCAGGAGATAATGACCCCCCCCCCCCCCCCCACCGCCCCACCACCAGTCATTGTTTTTTTGTACATTTTTAAACTACTGGCACCTGAATATATGAAAGGTCTCCCAATCTTCAGGTCTTCTTTAACATCTCATGACTCTGGGTTATGATATCATAGGGATTTCATTTTATACAATTAACAGTAATTATCTCTATTTAAGGTAAACAAAATGTTGAGGTGACAAATTAGAAGACACTGAACAACTGGGGAGGCACTTAACAGGAGGGAGTGGAATAAATTATGTTAATTACTGCAATTTAGGAGGCATTTAACAGGAGGAGCTGAATAAATTATTTGAATTACTGCAATTTAGGAGGCATTTAACAGGAGGAGCTGAATAAATTATGTTAATTACTGCAGAGAAAATTAAAGTGACGTGGCATATCAGCATTATAGTTTGCCTTTTTTGTGCAGATTCTTATTTAACATGTTTAATTTTTAATCAAAAATAAATTTGGCGGAAAAAACTAGTTTTAAGTATAACAACAATAAATCTCTGTCAGAAATCCCCAGTACTCTCCAGGCATATTTGCCCAATAAGTTCAGTAAAACTGAAAACTACATAAGTTTAACACCAGAGTCAACAGAAAAGTACTTACAAGTAAATTTTTTGATTGTCATTGCCTTAATAACTTAATATAACTGCATAGTACTTGAGGAATGACCTCCCCCAAGTACTACTGTTTGTATGAGTAACTCTGTCTGTTCAAAAGCCAGCTGAAGATGCACTTGTTTATACAGACTGTCAGGTAGCATCATTATCAGGGTGGATAATATGTTTTTATCTGTTTTTTTATTCTGCATTTTTACTTTAATTTTATGGGTAATATGCTATTTTAATAATTTACGAGAATTTTACTATACAGCACATTGTGGTTTCTGCCTGTGAAAAGCACTTTATAAATACATTTTACTTAAAATGTAACTTATTTAATTAAACCAATGAATGATTGACATCACACAATAATCCTTCCCACTATCCGTTTCTGAGCCAGAATTCCTCAATCAATACTACAAATTTGCTCAAACCTGCATCCAAATGAGCTAATAAACTCCATTCAGCTGTGGCTGCTGAACCAGTCTAGTGCAGCCAAGGATTTGATTTGCTGTTTTCAGGTCTCATATACAGCTTTAAAACTATTGACACTAAATTCTTTATAAGTAGAGGCACAAAGCATGCTTAACTTTTCTCGCTTTAATATAACCACAGAAAATCCACAGCAGTCAGTGTTCTAGTGAACCTTTTCCCAAGAGGGATATTCCAACGACGTAATTGTTTTTCTACACAATAATGGTGACAGATTAAAAAATAACCCATGGAATCCCCACGTGAGATGAACTACGAACCTGGACAATGGACAATGGACACTTCTTCCAGCGTCTGAAACAAACTCTGCAGCAAACACATCATACATACGCTTGTACCTGATGCATTACAGAAAGTTTTACCTTAATCGTTAGTGCATCACTTCTGAGAGATCACACTAGGAGCTCTTCATTATGGATACTAAAGCTGGTTTAGGTATCCTCATCCTCCCAGGAACACACCAGAGCAGATCTTTGACAGAAAGAGCCGAGTGAGTCAGCTGAGGCCCCTAATGGAGGGGCCACCTGGTCATATGACATCACAGGAAATGGATGCTGCCATGTGCCCAGCAGGGGGGGTCAGTCACACTGCGACTCCTTTCCAAGTGTTAACTACGCACCGCAGGCTGTGCAGGGCAGCAACAGTTGTGTACAATCTGTGTACCTGCAAGATTTCGCTCGTTTTCTGCTGCCTAGTGAACATTGTGGAATCCGAAGCAGTACAAGCTTTTTCATTTGTACTGATATCTAAGGTTTATGAAACACGACAGTTAATGATACAAAGATTATTTGCCTAATAAGTTACTGTATTCATTTAGGGAACGCTAGAGTTAACAATGGTTACCATCCACTTAGCTTAGTCATTTATTTTTACATATTAGCTATTTTAAGTCTCATAGATTCGGGACACCAAAGCATTAGGCCTGAAGGCGTCCATTAAGTGGTCAAATTAGCTACAGTCACTGCTTTGTCACCATCTACCCAACTCAATAAACCCGTATGTGGTAGATGAAGGAGGCAGAGGACAGCAGGGTTTAAGCTGAAGGTTTGTTAATCAAAAACACTGTCCTGTCCTGTCCTGATTTGGCCAGCAGGGGTCTCCCATGCCAGCTACCCCACACCCCCATTCAGTCACACCTGCCCCTCATGTAAACCTTGTCGGATGTAATTATGACCCTCTGCTGTCTTTGGTTATCGTTTGTCTATTGTAATGTCTTACACCTGTCTGTCCTCAGTGTATATGTGCCCCTCCACGCCCCCCCATGTCCGACGCTGCCCAATCAGGTCATCATTTCCCTGTTACTCCTCCAATCTCCCGGTAGGTCCTAGTAGGAACCTCCTACAAGCTATAATCACCCAAATAATGTCCCCTTTGAGGTTTAACCGTCACCCAGGTCACCTCCAGGTGCTTTCAGGGATTTGCCAACAGCCCCTTAAGAAGAGCAAGCAAACACAAGATCTTAAATGTGACGAAACGCAATCACAGCCCTCAAACTTCTGCCACACTTATCTTCTCCGCTGCCTCCTTCTGACATTCCAGTCCAAATCATCCATCCCCCCCCCCCCCCCCTCATGCAAGGACACCGGAGCCAAGAGGGACATTCCTGCTCCGGCACAGAGCATCAGTACCGACTGAGCAAAAATACGTCTAAACAACGTCCCATGAGGAACCAGAATGAAACGTTTTTTCAACGTCTTGTAATATGAAAAGCTGATTAATTTTAGACATTGTGTATATTGTGCCTCCTGACTAAATTCATTTATAAATAAACAGTCCCACCATGCATTTAATTAAAACTTTTATTTAAATAGAATACATTCACAACAGAACAGTACAGAGCTGAAGCTGCTGAGTGCTGCGCACAGAGAGCAGGTGAACTGGGCAAAATGGACATTTGGAACTCTAAACTTAAATTAAAAATAGGTTATTTATAATCAGCTGTGTCCACCTCCTGCTTTTCTAGCTGGTGCATGCTTAAGATGATCTGCTTTTATTAGTTTCCTCTGTGGCGTCTCTGTGGCATTTCATGACTGCAGCTGCAAGAGGTGAAATTAAAAAAAAAGTTGTACATGTGCAAAGGCAACCTGTACCTACACCAAGTAGACATATTTTCAGGAAAAATAAAATGGTTTATATCATATGCATATTCCAGCAACTATGACATTAACTAAAACACACACTTCTAAATTGTCACTGTCTGTATACTACCTTGTATTTAAAATACTTGTATTTTAAATATAAAATAATAATTATATCCACTTTTACTATTGAACAATACATTTCCCTTCTAAAATTTACTATGGCAATATAAAACGACAGCCTATCTTGTATAGCTCTATAGAGGTTTGTGTTCTCCACAACCATCTTGTCTTTGTTTCCTTTTCCCTTCATATTAAAATGTGCCATGAGAAAATTAGTGAAAAGCCTGAAGGAAAAAAATATATTTATAGATTTAATTAAATTAGGAATCAAGGAAAACAGTGGAGATCCTGCTTAAAGACAGGATATCAACCAAAACTGCAACTATAATAACTGGTAATTAATTGTATGTTTTTTACTTATAGTAAACTTTGAAAATGGAGTCTATCACATAAGTGTTAATTCATACATTAAAACATACTGGTCAAACACTTTGTGCACACAGTCCCTCCAATTCTTGAAAGTTGCAGCACCTATTGGAAAAAATCCATGACAAAACATTTTTCAATGACAACCCAGACGAATATTAAACTATTGAAAACAATCATGCGTAATGAACACACTGTATACTGTAATCATTTACAAGAGGCTGTCAAGTCCTACCAGGGTATCAAAAGCTTGGCTGTCATTGAGGTACTGCTTCTTCCTCTGGAAGTCCTCTATGGCCTCCAACTTCTCCTTATGGGCGGCTGAACAGACAGGCTCACTCCAGCCAGGGCGTCACACCCCCACGTGGATGTCAACTAACTTGGTCAAGACTATTTTCTGAAATTCTGAAAAACATTTATTTTAATGATGATTTCCTTCTCTATTACAACTCAAGTATTTAATAACTAGGCTGGTTGACAATTATTTCGTCATAATCAAATTATAGTGTTTTGGTTATAAAACAGTGGGTAGTGTTTTGGTAGAAAGAAATATTCAAACAAATATATATTCAAACATTACAGAATACCACCATATCTAGAGTAATAAGATTTGTAGTTTAACTATTCACCGGGGCTGTAAGGTATCTTTAAGCGCCAGTTTCAAGCCCAGATAAATGGGGAAGGTTAGGTAACTAAGGGCAATTTTTTGCAAAATCATTATGCAGAAAATGACAGATACTTGATCCGCTGTGGCTCCCCCTAATGGGAGAAGAACATTTCCTAGTTTGCTTTCCCAGTTTTTTTCTGTTTGGGTGCTTTTGACAAGGATTGAGATACTAAAGCACTTACTTGCTGAGGGCGTTGGGAACAGGTCTGCTTCCCTCTGAGACCCCTGCATCTGCAGGACCTGTAAAAGAAAACAAGGTTCTTTAGGAAACTACCACGTAACATTTCTGTGAGAAAAGCAACAGCTTTGGGTCCTAAGACATCTAATTATGAATCTGTTCCTTAATTGTAACAATTAGGGGTGCAATGATACTACGTGTTTGCAAATCATTTGATCACTTGCGACCTTTGGACTACTCACCATGCTTTGGAGTGGAGCGGTGCCTGGAGCCGGAGCGGGAACTGCGCCTGGAGCCGGAGCGGGAACGGTGCCTGGAGCCAGAGCAGGAACGGTGCCTGGAGCAGGAACGGTGCCTGGAGCCGGAGCGGGAACTGCGCCTGAAGCCGGAGCGGGAACGGTGCCTGGAGCCGGAGCGGGAACGGTGCCTGGAGCAGGAACGGTGCCTGGAGACGGAGCGGGAACTGCGCCTGGAGCCGGAGCGGGAACGGTGCCTGGAGCTGAAGCAGCGCCTGGATCTGATGGTGTGCCTGATAGTGTCCATGATAGTGATATTTTGCCCCCTGGTACTGATGCTGTCCATGGACAAGACTCTGCCATACCTGGAGCTATTGTTGGACCTGTAGCCGTAGTACACAGAGTGCCCTCCACATTTAGCCTTAGACACTTTATCCTGTGGAGTATCGAGGAGTGTCCCGGCATCCACAGGCAACAGGTGTCCTTGGTTTCTTAATATGGACAGCAATTCATTCAAAGATCTGTGTGTCTCTCTGTTTTTTTTATAGCCCACTGTCTCAAGTCCTCTTCAAAGTTCACAGTTACTCCAGTTTCATCATTTAGTTCTTCTTCTGAGTCTGTATGGTCATGATCCACATCAGTAGTCAAGTCAAGTGTTGTAGTTTCAGGATTGTCATTGTTAAAACTATTTGGAGTGTCAGGCACACTGTCACTATAAGAACTATTTGGGATGCCTGGCAGACTGTTATCAATGTCAGAATCTTGCAGAAGAAGATCCATTTCTCCTTTTCTTTTTCACCTAAGCCATCTGTACAACACAGTTTGACAGCAACAAATTTAAAAAGTACACTTAAAATGTAATGGAACTCAACACTAGACTTAAACTAAACACTTTTGTTTGTACAAATATTTCTCAAATTAACTGCTCTATTTCATAGGAGAACCTTTCCTTAAACGTCTTGATGTAGTTACCCTATGAACAGTAAAAGGGACATGCTTACTCATGAGCATTTAATATAAAGGCACAGTATTCTTGTTGAATTAAATATTTGTTCTGTAATGTCACTTAAATCACATGTACAGTGTCCATTTTAGGACATTTTCAGTCTCAGACAAAATGGAGACCGTATTCAGTGTTCCAATTTTTTATCACCTGAAAGTATGGAAGACCACAACAGTCATAGTTCTCTCTACACCTCTTGTGATCCTCCATATGAAAGTATCATGAAAAGAAAAATCACATTTTAAAAGCTGCAATTCAGATATTAAACTGAGGTTGTAATCAGACGTCCAGATGCTGAACCTGTCGTGCAGACGTACAGATATAGTCCTGGACGGACCGACCCCATATAACCATGATCTGCACGTCTGGGAGACGTCTCATGTTTGCTGGGTAAGAATGCAATTTACAAACACAAAAAAATTACTGATAAATAATTTAATGCAAACTGAAAGAATTTTATTAATAAAAGCCCAAATTGTATCCATGTTTTGACTGTATGACTTTTATGTATTTTGCGGTCCCTGGGCCTAGGTCTGGTGATGGCTTTACCTCGATATCACCAGAGCTCAACCAAACTTCACCCAGGGTCACGACTCCACCTCCTGGTGGGTCACAAGTATTATACGACCAGGTGTAATTTGCCAGTTGGGATTAGTTCCTAACCCCTGGATAGTGACTCTCATAGTTCCTAAGCAGCTTTGCGGTCCTGCTGCTTGCGATAACGGTTAAAAAAAAAAAGCGAAAAGTTTCTTCCCATGATGTCTATGGCATTGCCACCTGTCAGGGCAATTATGTCACATACTTGTGATGGCAGCCAAGAGATGTGTGACGGATAAAACATCTACCATCCAAAGGAGACCCACAGAAAGTTTAGTGTGTTAGAGCAGAGTTAGAGCTAAACTGGCACCTACATTTCAGAACCAAGCAGGGCACCTCAGACATAAAAACAACCTCGCCATATTTTTGTGGCATGTTTCAGCTCAGCATAAGAATTAAACTGCATATACCCCCTGCATACACCCCCTCGCCTTCAATTCATTATCAGAAGCTCCAAGCAGTAAACGTCAGTTGATCTGTCAGATTTAATAAATTATTAAGTACATATTCAGACATTGTTCAGCAGAGAAGCACTAATTGCAGAACTGTAGCGTTAACATTTTCACTCTCTCTTCCTTTGTCTCTTTTCATTTTGATCGAACAGAGACGGGATCTGCCCTGAAAATTGTCTGGAAAAACCAGTTGTAAATGATGACCAGTATTATTTCCCCCCAGTCATACCTAAAACTACAATTCTCCCTTGTACATTGGCACAGGTTCCAGTAGTGTTTATTGCTATATTTAATTACCCTCTTAAATGGCCATGTTATTATTTTCACCTTGGGAATTGTGCGATACCGTTTAAGTTTCCGTACGCAAGCCACCAGCCCCCTGCCATCACCTTATCAACAGTACGGCCAGCTGGCTGCATTGCACGTCTGCTAGCCTGCCTCAGGAAGATATAAAAGAGGCCCGATAATTATTTCAGTAACATCCCCAAGATGATGCCTGGATCATAACAATGCTAATGGATGCACCAAGCATCCAGAACATACATTCATCAACCTTAAAATATGAAGTCAAGAAATCATTAGCATTATAAATATTCAATGTATAAAACTTTTTTGGTGTGGGAAATTGAAGCCATTGTTAAATTAATGAGAATGTATTATACTTAATATTCCTAGTATCTTTTCTGTGAGAAGAATTGAAATATACTGCACTGTGAAATGCTCAAGGCTACCCTTGTCTAAAAACCTCTTTCTCAGCCTCAGAATCTCAAGGTCCACATCAAAGATATTTGTAATACTTTCATAAAGTGCAATGATCCACAGCTTGAACCCACTATAAAGCATCATTACAGATGTGGTAATTCCACAGTGTAGAGTTTCCATTCCAGCACAAGTCTTCCATTCATGCTGTGACTTTGAAAACCTGTAATCGAACCCTGACCATTCAGCTCTGTGCATGTTCTACACAGAGTTTTGTATGAGGACCCAAGTTTTCTCCCGCAGTCTAAAAAGGGCTTGGCAATTTGATGTTTCTAAATAAGCCATAGGGTGCATCCGAAATCCATGTGTACTGAATTCCATTAGAAGCCTACTACTCGACTGGTAATGTAGTACATACTATATTTGTGCATGAGGACAGCATGCATACACTCAGACAAATTGAGATCACCATCTTGCACATTACCTGACCTGGATATTTACGAATAACATAGCTTGACACCTACAAAAGTTAAAAAATGTTAAAAACTTATATATTCAAGTCAACTTATGTAACATCAGCATCCATCAGTTGTACATAGAATGTAGTATGTCATATAAGTACTGTTCACCTACCATCTCACCCATACTGAGTATTCGGACATAATGCTCACTTTGCATACTATATCTCGCCTACTACATAGCAAACATGTATGCAATTTCAGACGTACTGTACTGTATGATTGTGCGTGAGAGAGTACATGTGAGTGTCTGACCAACAATGGACAGGAACTGTTTCGGGTGCCCAGATTATACTTAGACTTTGTGTAATGTTCTGGATCAGGGATTTGTATTACCACAGTAATTCATGGTAAAAGCTCCACGACTCCTGCTTATCTTCAGATGGGCATGGTCAGTTAAGTAACCTTCAAGATGTATACCACACAGTAATCACCTCAATATACAAGCATTGCATGTATTAATCAATCATATCACGACAGACTTTCTATAGAATATACAGTGTCTTTTGACATTGATGGATGGTTTGTGCTATGCATTTGCCATAATGGCACTTGATATAATTCCTCATTGGCAAGCTCCTACCCAAGGCTTTGAAGTGCTTTGATTTCCTTCATCCCTATAATTTACATTCCGTTTCTTAAAAACTAAAGACTGTCAAGAATATCACATATCTCCTAAAATATATACTTAATTGCCCCCTTTTTATATATGACATTTTAATTGGATATGGGTAAAGATATAATATACTTTGAATATATATTGGATATAATGTAGTTATGTCTTTGGGAACATGGTGGAAATTTGTTTGAGTCGTAAAATAGAAAAAGAAGACTAATTAGCAACATTTCAGCCGAACACCCTGGACCACAACAAGATAGCATGATATGCAAGAATATAAAAGCCAGAGAGCTTTAGACTGAATACTCATTACCCACCATGCTTAGAGATCAGAGGAATAAAAAGTACAAACAAGGAACATTACTGATACAAGTGTGTTATGAAGCAGATCTCTCCAGTATGGCATGTGTCTACACCATTCCAGCAAACACCTGGAGTCGTAAAAAAAGCGATGGCTCATTGAATTAGCAGGATGCGTAGTTTTCAGGAAAGAAATGTATCCATAAGAGTACGGCTCTTCTATTATATTCCATTGCATCTTCTCAGTCTTCCACAGCCTTCTTCCTCAACAACATTGATATAACTCTGTCAACCTTGAGTCCAGCATGAGCAGAAGGTGTTAAATTCCCTTGATAGCCCCTACGTCCTCCTTGCTCCAAAGACCTCTTCAAAGGCCATGCATAATCATGTGGAAAATGGTGCACGAGGCCTACCGTTATGAAAATGTCAAAGGCGGCACGTTAAGGCTGAATAATGTCCTCGACTGATTCCCGGTCTCAGAACATCCTGATGTCTGTCAATGAGCCTTCGCCCCAATGTAAAATTATGTCTCAAATAATGAAGTATAATGAGATCATCGAAGGTTATTGCATCCACCTTTGTTCAAGCCATGAACTGTTGCCACCAATAAGGTATCCATAACACATTTTAAGATCTGATGAACCATTGGTATAGAGGACAGAGTTCTGCAGGGTATTGATGCGCAACAATTTGCAACCAGGAAGACTCTTCCGCCATGGAGACGAGGACCGAGTGACCGAAAACCTGCTATGCAGATTGCTGCTTATTGCGTCCTTATCGTGTTCACCTGTTTCAGCTGTACTCATGGGCATGTCCAGCCAAGTTGTCTCCGTTTTTACCGCCAAAATATGAGGTTGAACAGGTCCAGGTTCCTTTAAAATCCATGTACCGCTGTTGCAAATTCCATGGTTTTTAGCATTTTTCAGCTTTTGAGACCATAATAGTAAATGTCAAGGTCTCAAAAAGCTACCTGTCTTCATTATGACAGCAAGTCTGTCTGGGGAAAACAGGAGCTGTTTTTCTTTACTTTGTCCGGCGACATTTACAATCGAAAACTTCCAGTTTCCTGGAACAAAGTGGATTGGGTGCCCCGACCGTGTGTTCCGGTTGAAGTTTACGCCGCTTCTGTTAAATGAATGCATCTCGCAATGGAAGTGAAAGGGCGTTTCAGGGCCTCGCATCTCCACATTACTAATGTGGGCTTTTTCTCCAATGTGGTTTTCAATTTTATTTGTTTTTTTTTGTTTTTTTTACTCAGCTTTGGGGGGAGTCGCCGCAAGGACACGAGAAGGACGACGTGCACTATAACACTCAAGCCATTCAATCACCGGGAGACGTCCGTGAAATCTGACGGAACCAGAGAGAAATCCCAATAAAGGGTCTGATTTAAGAAATGTCAGCTGCTGCAGGTCTGAAAGGACAGACCTGAGCCACAAACTATATTTACTACTCTGGATTATTCTTTTCCCCAGCAATGATAATTACGCCTTATCCATAAGGACCCTGTCATTCATCACAGTTCCCTATTAATTGCAATGACACCTTCATTGGTGTGTGTGGCCATCTGGGAATCCATTGTTCCCCTGCGGCTGATTTATTTATTTGTGGCGGTTTTATTTCCGGTATGATCGAAGCTGCTCGGATGCAGCCCCAGCAGACGCGACCTACAGGAGCAGGTGTGCCGGCGAGTTCCGCAGTTTGATCTCATCGTCATCCAGAGTCCAGCGTGAATCTCAAAATGCTGCCCCGCTCCAACCGTGGCTCTATTTTCCATATTATTTTAACAATCGCCTACGGCTCTAAGTCATATTTTCATACCTTCCACAGAGAAATGTTCCGTTTGTTTTGCGAAAAAGGCACCAAGAGCTATTACTTATCCAGTTTTATTACTGAAAAAATCTACTCATATTTGATATCATCTCATTTCATTTCAAATCATTATATTTCATATTTTGCTGTGTCTGGGATTCTGAGCAAGATAAGCACATTTTAGTATGTGATTCTAAATTATTTAACTGTACCACATAATCATCGCACAGGACCAGTCTGTACCTACTCCATATCCATTATACCTCTTCTTTGCCTAACCTTCCGGCATATTCCATACAGTGTAAGTGCTAAGGATTATTTTAATAAATGTTAAAATTTGATTGCCAATGAACATTCTTCCCAGCCACAACCAAGCAAGAAATCATTCCCCCCAAATCATCAGATAAATAAATGCTGCAGCTATATCCCCAAGGTTCCTGAATGGATTCTTGTGACTCAACGTGCGATTAATCTTAAGCAGGAAATGTGCTGCTCTGTGACATCTGCTGGTGTCACAAACGATGCAGGAGCCTGACAACTGGGTTCGGTCAGAAATGTTGATCTGTCTATTGGACGTGAAGGGGATGCAGCACAGCCTGGTGTGACATGCAAAGAAAAGGGACCTTGAATTTCTATATGCATTGACAACATTGTCAACCATTGTTGACAGGGCTGGCTGAAGCCCATATGTTGCTGCAGGCAAGCTTCACCCCCCCCCCCCCCCCCCTTCAAGTTTTCTGAAACCTTCCTCCAAGCCAGAGGCTCCTGATGCTTTTGCTAAGCTGCCACCTCCTCATAAGATGGTATCATGTGTCACCCAAAGGACTAACCAGCCCAGGTCATTGAGGTTTACACTTTCATTCATTAGCAGCCCCTTCACATCTCCTGCATCTGCAGAGCTGAGTCACAAATCAGGCTAACACTGATATTTCCACTTTCCACACCACCTCAGAGGATTTAAGGTCATCCACAGGGAGCTGGAGAATTCCTAATATTAAAGGACAAACATAGATTTGGGGAAAGGTTATTCGAGAATTGTGTCCTCTGGGTTTAATATGTCACCTGATATATTACAGTTCGAAAACTCCACGTACACACTGGATTCTCCTGGATTTAGAAACTTGACTTCACACATGAACATGTCTTCTGCTACCCTGTGTGTTTATTGTGGGTCTGAGGTCGAAATTGAATTATAAGCTTTGAAAGGTTAAATTGGCCAAATAAACACCACCGTGTGCCACAGACACAGCCAGCAATGCCAGGCTGCAGCCAGACTCACTATTCCTAATGACGGCAGCACCTTTAAGACTTTCAGACAGCCACAGTGTCCATATCTAAGCAAACAGCGTGAACACATCTCACCAAGTGTCACTGAAGCCCATCTTTGAGGTTGAATTCAATTATACAAGTTCGATTATTCACAGTTTTAGCAAGTCATATAGTTACCCAACCTACTTTTTATCCATATATAAGATGGTTTTTCATTTTCACCCTTTTCATACGTGCCAGGAATTCCTGAAATCTGAAGTCCCTGTGACATTGATAGTCTATAACCCACCATGAAATAATTAGCCAGTAGAATAATTTCCTCAAGTAGCATCACTTGACTGTGAGATTTTATGAGGAAAATGTGTTTTTGCTACACGATAAACAAACATTTCCATACTTACCTATTAGGGAAAAACTTACAAGGACAACCGTGATTAGCCGAAGTTTATTATTGTTACATAACACTGAGATGTTTATGTACACAGGAAGCCACAAGGCACACAGGTAGTTTTGTGTTTTAATTACAGGGAAAAAATCAACCCCATTACGCTTTGCTCTTTTACAAAAATTAATTTTACAAGTTTCCAGTTTCACTACAGTACATTTTAATTACCTTAATGATCCAAACATATATATAGTAAAATGTTTAAATATTAACATCGTTTATATGGACATTAACAGGTAACAGGCTTTTAAAAACAGCGAACATCGAACAGAACAAATAAAACAGAATCTGTTACATCTACATGCAAAAGAAGCACGGAAATAAGCCACTCTGTGACTGCATGGCTCTGCTCTTCAGATGTGCGACTGATTAATGTTAACAGTCAAGTAAACATGGTAGCTGGTGATGTTAGTTTTCACTAGAGATGGGAGCCATGCTCAAACCCCAAGCGGAACAGATCTGTGCAAACTCGCGAAAATTATCAACAGACAAAGTGCATACCGAGTCATTTTATCACCAATAGCTATTTCCTCCGGGTTTCAGCTTGTTAGGCTGAACAGATGTTTAACGTTAACGGAACGGAGACGTCCCGTGCTCGTGCACCTGCCCGTCATTAGGACTTGAACGTTTCACCCGTCGATGCGTAAATCGCACGCGGCTCACGGTGTGTCCCCAGACGTCGGACGGGCATCTTCAGAGACTTCATGCGGGGGACAATTGCCTTCGATGGCTTGCGAGTTCACACGCGCTCTTACCACTTCAATAAAATTGTCAGACGAGCAAACTTATTTCCTTAATTTACAAGGAGGCCGGATCACAAAAACCCTTCTGCTCGACACGTCTCATAATTAGACACGGAGCGGGAGAGATGCGCAGTTTCGACCGGGAACAGATGTGCCGGCGATGCTAATTACAGGCAAGAGATGAGGCCTGGAAGACAGTTAAATGAAGTTTCGAACGAAAACCTTTTTGGCTTAGTTTAATCTACACATCCTTTCAAGAAATAATGAGTAACTTGGCAAAAATGAAAAACAGGAAAACATCTTTTTCTGATCACATGAATTTTGACAAATAACTTTAAATATCAGTAGTGACATCATCTTAACTCCTAGGGCATTACACGCTGTTATTCCCCTTACACGTCCCTGCACAAGTGTTTAGTTTTTAATTTAAAGGCAGGTGCCTTGAGAGTCACAGTCACAGTCAAAGCGGAACCACAGTGAGTTCAGTAGCTCCATCTGCTTCTGGTGTCAGTGATGGCGTACCGAGCGTCCGTCACGTGAAGCCGGGCCAGAACGCGGCCTCGGATCATCTCTACATCCAAGGAACCATGGCTGGCGCATCTTTCTGCACGTGCTGGACAGACAACGCGCATCGTCCTCTCAAAACGGGCCGACATTCTGCTAACGTGCCGTAAGCGACGCACCGAGAACCACTGAGACATTCAACGCGATAATGAGTTGCTAGGTAGCTGTGCAAAACCCGGTCTTGCATTATAATGTTTCATTCGTCAATTGGGAATTTTCTCAGTGGTAGTAAAATAAGTCGAGAAAAAAAAAAACGCAATAAAAAATACTAATAACAACAAAACGATATTATAACAATAAAGCATAAAAATTGAAAATTTTCATAAATGTATGCTGAAGTCACATATCAAAAGCAGATCTCATTAAAAGTTTCCAGTCTAGATACAATTTTTTACCTTATTCAGTTCAGGAAATAGCTCTTGTATGGCAATATCCAGAAGAACATATGTCAGCTAAAAGAAATAGCAGAAAAAGAATGCATTAATTATGCAAAGGTTAAAGCACGACACTGTGCATTATACGTTTATACACACACAGCTGCGGAAGCAAAGAACCATCCAGAGTACAGTGGAGGTCTGTTTACAAATATACTGCAGGTTCTAAGGCTGCCCAGTGCTGTTGTGAGTTGTATAAATATTTCTATGAATATTTTCCCTAAACATTAACTTATTAGAGTCTTTGTGTTTTCTTTTATATATGCTTTCTTATATTACTGAGATAATAATCTGTACCAAAAGGAGGCACCAAAATCAGGCACCAAATGAAGCCTGTAACTCTGAGCTGCTGTGATCTTAAATCATACATTAGCAGGTAGCCGAGCGGCTGATTTTATCTAACTTCTTTCGGGGCACCCAGAAAGTCCCAGAGACGCCGCTCACCTGCTTGTTGAGAACCGGCTGCTGCAGACCGTCGAAGAGCAGCCTCACGCCCTCGTACTTGGCCTCTTCTCCGATGCACTTGCCCAGGAAGTCTGTGGGGAAAGAAGCGACCCGGAGAACATGAGATCTTCACAAGCTGGGGACAGCCTACAACACTATGGAGAGAACAAGGGAGAACAAGGCTATACAATAGGGTGCTATGCAAGTAACCAGAAAAATAAATTGGCATGACCTATATAAAGTGGAAACTACATCTCTAGCTGATAATAAACCTGAACCTGTGAGCTACACAGAGCAGAACAGCGGGAAAAATGAACTGGGCTGCTTTGTCTACAAACGTAATGAATCCGCAGCAGATTCTGCAGCACGTCCCGAACGGACGTCGGGATCATTAAGGGCTGAGTGACCTGGTACATAGCGCATCATTTCCTCAAAAGTCTTCTTGGCCCTCCTTTGTTTATCTTCAAATGAGCGGGAATCACTGTTTTCACAGAAAACCGAATCTGAAAGCAAGAAAATTATTAGTTGCAGAGCGATACATTTAAAGGTTTTCAAGTGTGTAATTGTGTGAAACAAGGGATAAGCTTCAGTAAAGCTCTACAGAGGTCCTCCACCTCTAAGTAGAGTAATAAGGGAGACCACACGATGTTCCTGGAAGACTTGGTTTAGCTTGTACTGCAGGTAGTAGTCCGTATAGGCCTCAAGGGTGTTCTTGAATAAGATTCGACCTCCCATCAGCAGGTGATGCAACCAATCAGGAATGTGGAACACCACTCGACCTGCCAATGAAATTCCATGATTTTTTTTCTTTACGCAACAGCCTCAGGAAACAGCCGGAAGTGATGAGACAAAATAAGCTAGTTATACATTGATGATTTAACACAAATTAAACTTGGCCACCTCCTTGTCTCACTCTATTACAAACGTCAGCAGAAGGGATTTCATTTTCAGATTCATCGCTCCAATAAGCTGGAAACACATTCATTTATTGTATAATGGTTGGCAGGACACTCTCAAGTACTCCTTCACTCTAGGAGAGGAAGCTACATTAGAGTGAAGGTCATCATGTCGCATACTCACTTACCAACGTACATCAGGACGTCATACACGCCCTGGACAGTGATCATCTCCATGAAGTAGTTCTGATTGTGCCGTCTTTCGGTGACCTCCGAGCGGTTGGCGTTGTTTTTGTACAAGTCGTTGAACAACTGCAGGTTGGTAATGAGCACAGAATCCAAAGCAGGAAGACAACGAAGATATTTAAGGAGGAATTGCACCCAAAAATGCTGTTTTGTTCATCATCAGATCATTCGGTAACACTTTACTTAGGGCCGTGTTTTTAGTACTTTATGAACACATTCATAACTAATAATGTATTCATAAAGCATTATAAAAATGGCTATAAATATTTATAAAACGGCATAACACATTATATCCATGTATATTATGCATTATAAATGATTTATGAAGCTCTAATCTATAATGCACTATAAATGCCATTATAATGCATTATAATGCTTCGTATAAGCATCAAGAATGTTCTGGACTGCAATATAAAGGTATCTATAGTGCATTATAGCTTCATAAGGCATTTATAATGCATAATACACATGGATATATTGTGTTTTGCCTTTTTATAAATATTTATAACCATGTTTATAATGCTTTCTGAATGCATTATAATGCATAATGAATGTTTATAAAGTACTAAAAATATGGCCTTAAGTAAAGTGTTACTGATCATTTTTCATGCAACCAAACCATACATGCACAAAAAATGTGCAGCACAAAAACAATCTGTCAAATTACAGCAGAGTTCATTTAAAACCAGTAGAAACTCCTTGTCCCACCTTCTTCTTGTTCTCAGACGTCGGACTGAGGATAGTTAGCTCCGGACGGCTTGGTTTGGGCTTCGGAGACTCGCAGGAGTTAAAGAAGGACTGTATGAATGACTCCAGGTGCTGGCCTTTCTGCACGTGAGACATTTTGAGGAGACACACTGAAGACAAACCTTTGTTGAGGTTGTCATGGTTGCAATTCCTAGGTGCAGCAGCAGCAACATTGCTGATTCTGTTCCAAACACCCAAGTTCATGTGCACTGACAGGAAAAAACATCTAAACTTTTTTACATGGTGTCATTTATATGGGTAATTAAGGAAAAAATGTGTACCTCCTTTATCAGTTTCCCAGGAACTGACTTGATCATTTTTCCTGAAAAGAAAAATGAAAGATGCAATATTAATGGGCAGAACCGCCCACGAGTGGGATGGGAGGGAAGAGACCGCTGTCCATTTCCGGGGGGTCCTACCCAGGCTGACGTCTGGCAACATCCTGTCAAGAAACTGAGACTCCACGCTGTGTGGGGACAGGAAGTCAGCGAGCAGCTGGCTGTTGCTGAGCTCTGGATACTGCAGCAGTTTCTGTAGGGATGAAGACAACACACACACACACACACACACAGGTCTTTGCGGGGACTCTCCTTTAATTTCTATGGGGAAAACTCTAATCCAAGACTTTTGGCATTTCTAATTTTCTGACACAATTTTCAGTCACAGATTTTTATAAAACTGAGTTTCCCATTTTGGGCACTGAAAAAATGGTCCCCACAACGTCAAAAAAGGTTTTTTATCACATTCTGGGAACATTTGGTCCCCACAAGGTAATACACACACATAAACTACAATATGTGCATATCCCACTCAGGTCCACAAAATGCAATATATGTACATAAACCATAATGTAATATGTTCATAACCCACATGCACACACCAACAGTATATCAGCCCAGGTAGCACGAGGTAGCAGCCCTTAGCAGGGTCATCGTTCCTGTTTCTGCTCTTTCGTTCCGCCCAAGTACTTAGGGATTTTAATGAAGCGAACGCTGTTCTAACCCTACCTAATTAGGCATCTTTCTCCGTACTAATGAGGTTATCTGTTAACAGCTAAAAATGGCAGTCTGAAGAAGGGTAGCAATCTATTATGCACAAGTGTTATTGAAGTGCAAGCACTTTGTTTCGTAATGGGAACAAAAACAGATCCGAAAGGAGGCGAAATCGAGCAGAGAACGCTCTTCCTTCCTTCTGTTCTCGTTCTCTTCGTTTTGGGCTGGAAAGGTAATACCTGTAAGTACTCCTGGAATTCCTCTCGCTTGGATGTTAAGAATTCGTAGTTCTTTGGCCCAATTATTCGTTTGGACGGCAACTGTGCATCTGGAAAGGACCCTGTGTGGGAGGGTGGGCATGAGAATGACAGGGAGCGCCAATCCACTCGTACCATGGTACTTCATTTTAAAAATGACAATTTACAGCATCTTTAGTGTACCTCAGCAACTGGATCCATTAAAAGCACATCAAAAGTTTTTTTCCCATCCGTCAGCCATATTTTCAATATATAATAAACAAACCTGCACACAAAGCAAGACTGAATTTATGGTGTAGCTGAGTGGACACAGGGAGCTTACCGTGGAACTCGGTGAGTTTGGATTCTAAGACATAGAATTCAAGGTATCGTCTGTATACAGACCAGTGCTCTGTCTGGTGGCCCACTAAACAAAGGAAGAGATATATCATTTCAAGAAAGACAGACAGACAGACAGACAGATAGATAGATATGTGGATGGACAGACAGACAGAGAGATAGACAGACAGACAGACAGATCAATACCAACACCAATACTTTCCCGCCTCTCTTTTAGCCAATGGAGTAGCATCAGCAGCCACGCCACTCTCATTCATTCCACCAATGAGAGGCCAGGAAGCTGCTCCTACCCGCCTTCCTGTCGTTACGCTCCACATCGATGCAGAAGACTGGGATTCGCTCCCTCTTCACCTCGTCGTCGTAGAAGTCCACGTAGGGGATGCTGATGTCCCAGGCGGACAGGTTACGGGGGGTGCTGGGCGTACTTATCGCCTCCACAGGGCAATCGTCTTCTACCACCATGATGGCCTCTTCTACCTGTGAGCAGGCGAGGGGAGACACAGACTGAATCTCAATATGCGTACTTGACTGTACTTGGGTTCTCATGTGCCCATTTTACGTCTTATTCCATTGCCGAAGACCAGCTCCAATACTAAGAACACAGGACGGTAAAAATCCCCAGATGTTGGTCTTGTCGCACCCCAGATATCAAGGTTACACTGGCAGCATCCTCTGCGTACGAGACCAACCCCATGATTCACTGCGCCCCAAGTTTGTTCTTGGATGGCAAGTATGATCTTTATGTTCTTGGCACTGCAAACCTGAGTGATCAGCAAATCGCAGAGAAATCCCACTACTGGCATCGTTCTGCAGAGTCAGGCTCAGGTTAGGTGTCTAACATGCACAGGTCTTCTTGTACATTGGGTTAGATGATTACTGATCCCAGAGGGAAATTCTTGAATTTCAGTTATAGTCACAGGTGTATAAATTCTGGTTTATTTACATGTATCCTTATCTGGTTTTAAATGCACTCAACTTTATGCTGCTAAGTTCACATCATTTTCCAGAGATCAACACACTCAAAAAGTTAAAAAATATATATATTTAAAGGCAGAGCTGTTTGCTTGGAACTACATATTAAGTTGGAGAGATATTCTGAAATTTAAAGGCAGTGAATGTACTGTAGGACTGACCCAAGCCCACAGCACTAAAACAAATCAGAATGTACATGTAAATATGCAAGTCCAGCCAGGGACGGCGAGGGCCCAGACTCCAGAGTTCACAGGTGATAAGAGCTGCATGAATATCCCTGCATTCTACAGCCTGCTCACCATGTCGTCTTCACCCTCAATCAGGCCATAAGAGGGCAGTATGGCCCCTTCCATGGTCGTGCTTTTGAAGACGCCCTTGATCTTGCTGCCGATGCGGCTGATGCCAAAAGTCTCCCCGCGTTTGGAGCTGCCCCTGCATGGCACATGGGACACACGCCCTCAGTGACGCCAAAGGGGAGGGGCTTAAACTGGGAACAGCCCAGACGCATGCAGCTGGGGGGGGGGGGGAGGCTATGGTGTGGATAAATGATCAGCTATCCCACCTGACAGGGTGGTTGGGTAATGCTCAACAACCAAAAAGGCAGCTTTGCGGGTTCAAAACTTTGCAGCACCAACAATGAGGTAGTTCAGCAACCATTCCTCCATGGTCAGTGTTCTGAGTTTTAACAAACGTTCTAATTGGTTCCTAAGTGACATTTCCAGTTCAATCCAATTGACCACTATAGCAATGCAATGGAAGCCCTATTGCTGAGCAAAATGTAACACACCCTGAGGCTCCGGATCATTTAAGGCGTTTCAGGAAGTTCAGAGGAACAAAAAAGGCAGAACTGGAAGTTCTAAAAGGGAAACTCTAAGAAAACATTGATTCTGAAAATAGTATTAAGGTTCTCATAAGGTTGATGGATGTGCGTTTCAAGTGCAATCCAATACGGAACAACTAATGCATTATGAAAAAATAAAACTTCCCAGTCAAGCCTCGAAATAATTTTTAAGTTGAAAATCTGCGCAGTTATCCAACCTGATATTATACAGATAATACTATTTTCGGTCGATGCGTACAAAAACGACGTAAACAAAAAGGTATACAGAGGGTTCTTATAAATATACCTCTAGGGTATTTATACCCAGACCTCTCACTGCAATGTACAGACTTATCGGCTTTGCAGAAGACTGGTAAACACAACCGTTTGCATATATAAGTCAAAAAAATCATCAGTAGATAACACAAAATGTAGGACAAAGATCTCCTCCACAAGGCAACAGCGACGACTGTCAGCGTTAACTGGGGGGCCATGCATACAGAGAGACAGACGGTCGGTATTACAAGGGCCATGCGTATGACTTGGGGGGGGTCACATGGCTTGTAATAGACCCTGACTTACTTCAGCGCGGCAGGGAGAGAAGTGAGAATGCCAGATGGGAGGGTTAGAATGGACTGGACATGGGGAAACAGAGACGCCGGTGATGAGCCGGGGGTGACCGACGGGGACGCGGAGCTCTGTGCGTAGTCCCACCCCGCGGAGCTAGCGTCCGTGTTTTACGAGGGACGCACACAGGACAGGCAGGAGGACAGACATGGTTGGGGGGGTAGGTGGGCAGGGGCGGAAGACGCCGGGTGCAAGAGAGAGACAGACACGGGTTAGCTGAGGGAGCCAAAAAACGGGCCCCGGGATGCTGTGCAGTGCCATCCTCTTCCTCCTCCTCCTCCTCCGCCTCCTGCCCCTTCCTGATGCTCCAGCCTCCATGCTGTCCTCACCACTGCCTTAACAGCTAGAACTCTTCCTGACAGATGAGCGCCAGACCTGAGCGTGTTGGTCCATGGGGCGATATCAGCTTAAGAGTAAGAAACATTCATGGATGGAGATGGAGGATGGAGATGGGGGGTGGTGTGGAGGAGGTGTGCATGGAACGTGACAGGTCAGTTCTGTGGAGGGTGGGTGGGGGGGCACTGAAACTGGAAGGGGGAACACAGACCAGAAAAGGTCCTGCAGTACTGCATCTCAGCATCCTACTGCCTCAACTGCATTTCCCAGTTATCAATACAACATCTAGCTGCTTGTAGACAAAAACTCTTTTAAGACGTAAACAAGAATACTACAACAGAGGTCCAGGCAAAGACATTAACGTCACATGCCACAAGCGCTGATAAATGCTTCAAGCTAAGGGGTCGCCATAAAAATAAGATCTTGATTTAATCCAGACCACAGACGAACCCTTGGAGACAAAACACAGATGGGTTTTTGGCTTGTTACAACAAAGCAGGCATTTGTACTGTCTTGCGTCCTGCATGCAGCGATCAATGGGTGTCACAGGCTGAGAACAAGCAGGGATGTACTTACCGGATGTCATCCAAACTCAGGCTATTTCTGTAATAACAGGCACAACGAGTTACTTCTGGCCAGAGCAAACACTACCCCCCCAACATAAGAAGATGTCAGACGACAATCCACGCTAACAGGAGTGGGCGTGGTAAACCAACCCATGGCTTCCACAACGGTCATGCAAAAGTGATTGAAAATGTTCCGCAAGCAGCAGACGGGCGCCGCTAATGGGCGCCGCTAATGGGTCGAGCTGGTAAATAGGAGATATCCGCCCACCTGCTTAGCTTGGAGTTCCTCACCGGTGATTCAGCTCCTCTCAGCAGATGCCTGAAATACTGCAAGGGAAATCGAACCAGGAAATCGAGCGATCTTATCGAACGTACATATTCCGCAGATCGTTATTCACATCCAGCGACAGACATTTTTTTTGCCCTCCATAGCGGGCCGTCTCTCCTTCCATTTATCAAATGGAACAGCGTGATATTGAATCAAGTTTAGCCCGTGAGCCGCTACCTCATCGCTGTGGCAGAACATAGGGGTGAAAACGTTCTCCAGAAGGGACAGGACGTGCTCGTAGGCCTCGAACAGACACCGCATGGTTTGCAGCTTCACCACCCCGCCATAGGGACCCTCGGCAACTGGAGGAAGGGACATAGCAGACCCATGCTGAAGATGCTGATGGTAAAATCGAAAACTGAAGCATCTTCCATTGCCCAGACACCCACGAATTTGGTCAAAGGGATGTATCATGTGTCTTTAAAGGAATCAATGTTACACCACTGAAGCCTTCAAAGACAAAGTCGGACTTGATATGGGATGATAATGGAGCATCAATTATAGTAGCAATATATATGTTCACGAGCAGGGCTGTACGATATCACATCGCAATTTGTGAAGTTACTGCGAGTAGTAATGCGATGTTTATAAAACAAAAAAGGAGATAAAATTACCCGAAATAAACTATAGCCAAATAGAACTTTTTATTATCTACCAGTAGAGTGTGTCACATAAGTTTGGTGGTGCTGCGGTGAGTTGTGTCAAGCAGGGCTGCCACTAAAGACTTTTGGGCCCCTTGAAATCATATCATATTAGGGCCCCCAATCCAGATCACAGTCACTCAGGGACCCTTGGGATCACCCTAACTTTCCCCCGCTTTATGGCATCCATTATGTCAAGGCACAAAGCAGTGCCGACAGATGCGATGTGATTATTACGCAAGAGCAGATCGTGAAGACAATGCTGATACAGTATATCGTGCAGCCCAACTCACAAGCGCGTGCGTTTAAGGAGCGAAACTTTCAACAAGAAGACTGAAAGCCACGCACTTTGCCGAATTTCCTCCACGATGAAAGGGTCGAAGCGGATCTTGTCGATGCTCTCATCCAGGCAGTAGGTCTCGTAAATCTTCTTAACCTCCTCGTGCAGCAGCAGCATCTCTGATTCAGCCAGATCCGGACACAAAATCCTGTCATTAAACTCCTCTATGAGGAAAAAAAATGCAGAGTCCTGGTCAGCTTTGTCATTGTCATTACGAACCTTAAGAGGGTGCCAAGATAAAAATAGTAGTAATGCTATAACAACGCATTATGTAGTAACACCGCATTATGCAATAACTCGACAAAGTGTCAATGAAGGCATCAATTTTGATTGTTTATTACATAATATACAGTATTACATTTTCATCATTGAAAAGTGTAACTCCCGCATTTTGTAATAACCACCGCAATATGTAACAATTTATTACAAAATGCAACAGATTATTACAAAATGCGGGTGCTACTACATATGGAGGTGAAAATTTGTTACATTGTGTCGAGTTCTTACATGACGTGGAATTCTTACATAATGCATTGTTACAGATGTGCACCCAAACTCTCCTGAGAGACACAGGCGGGTGGGGGGGTACTCACCCACAGTGAGGCAGAACTGCAGCACGTGGACGGCGCCCTCCTGCTTGAGGAAGTTCATGAAGCGGAACAGCAAGTCTTGCTCCTCGCGGATCTCCTTCAGCTCCAGCTTCAGCATCTTAAGCAGGTGCAGAAGCAGGTGGGGTTGGGCTTTCAAGGTCGGGCCAGATGTGGGGTAACAGGCAAGGCAGAGGACAGCGCATGTGCATTACCGACGGCTTCCTGCTGCGGGGGTCTGAGTACTTCTGCAGGAAGGGGACCAGGGTGGAGGAGGGCTCCATAGCCGACTCAGGCTGGGAGAGGAACAAAACCACGACAGCAAGGTGAGACAGAAAACCAGGGGCGGACCCGCATGACACCTGGAAAACATCTGCAAGCTGTCACCAGTCCTGTGACCAAGAAAGCAGAGTAATTAAGGACCTGCAGTCCACGCCGAAAGGTCATTAGCTCAAACCCCAGATGGTGGTGTCCCACAGAACTGCTGAAATAGCAGACTTCACTTTAAAAATCCATCTGATTAAACATGCATGTAATGTATGATACGCAATTCACTTAGATGGCAAAAAAATGAAAGGTTATTTAATAATAAAATTTCACTAGCTCATTTTATACATTACTATATTACAAAGTTTCAATTACATGACACAAAATTACCATAATATAACACTTAAATTTAACTACATATTAGATACTTACAGGTGAATTGTCAATAAATATAAGGAGAAGATGATTCACAGTATCCTATAAGAGAGAAACCATGACAATTACAACAGATTAGATTAATACTCAAATACATGAAATTTAAAATATCAATCAATGATGAGAACACTCTGAGTTTCCCAAATGTTCAGTGCTGATATATTACTGGCTGAATTTTGTTCCTACCTAGAGGCATCTTGTCTCAGAGCCTTATGAATACTTACTGGGTCAGCCAAGAAGTCCATGGAGGGAAGAAAGAGGGAACCAGCCAGAATCTCACGAATCAAAAGGGTGAGTGACCTAGGGAACATAAAGCACATAATCGGAAAACATCAACCATCTGGAAACAAACAGGCAAAAATATATATATATATAAATTACTATAAATTCAAACTGTATAGTATTTTCCAAGTAGAAAAGGCCTGTAGTAAAAACAGAAGCAGTAAAGGTGCATAAGTAGCAGAAGAGGTTTTTTATGATTCTATGACTTTTAATAGTGTTTATTGCCTCAGCTGTGAATATAGTGAGACTCTAAATCCAGGTGGGTATATTTCCTGCCCATCAAGGCCAAACACCACCTCCGACAGGCTCTCCAACTCCCTGTGGTTCCCCGTACCGGCAGTCCAGGGCCTTGGGCGGCAGAATATAGGGGAACAGTGTTTCTGTCAGCTTCCGGAGGTACTGCAGCTCCTCCCTCCGGCTCCGCAGGGCCACATGGAGATCAGGTCCGTACTCCTCTAAGGCAGCCGGCTGCAGGCCCTCTGAGTTTTTCACTGCGGGGGGGGGGCACAGATGGATTAAGGGTAACCACTCCAAAGTATGGGACTACAGAACCAAAGCCTCCAGAAAAGAATAACAAGCCCTGGGAATTTTCCCAGGCTGCAGTTGGGTTTGTGGCCCACTATGGACAAACCATGTTTCCCTTGCAACAAATGAGACTCATAATATTGATGTATAACCTCCGATCTCATAAATAAAAAGAAGCGCATTCCAGTGCAGGCAGTACAGTTACCTTTCTGTCGTGCTTTGGTAATTATTTCAATGTGCTTCATGGCGGCTTTCAACAATTTGAGCGTAATAAGGGAGGGAATATCAACCTGCAGCAATAAAGAAAAAAATCAATTGAGGCACGTTTTCCGTAAGGCCCCGGTAATAAAGCCTGGTAACATATACGGTCTTTGGAGGGCTCCTCCTGGTGCTGCCGTGACTGGTTTGTGGAATGGGCCGCATTCGCGTTCTAGTTCCCTGTCATTTCAGCGGGATGCACATTCACGTTTCCCGTCATTTCAGCAGTGAACGCACACGCGTTTCCTGTCATTTCAGTGGCAGGCACGTTCAAATTTCAGCAGGATGCGCATTTCATGTCATTTTAGCGCAAAAAAAATAAATAAAAAAATTAAGTAGATTTAGTCACATGTGCATTAGTGTTTCCCGTCATTTCAACGGTGTTTGTGTTTTTCATCATTTCAGCAACGGGCACATTCAGGATTCCTGCCATTTTAGTGGCGGCCGCACTTTGTTTCGTGTTATTTCAGTGGATTACACATCCACATTTCCCATAATTTCAGCCCTGAGCTCCGTTTCTCACAGGTCAGTAATGTGTCCCAGTACCTTCTGCGCACGGCGCACTAGCACTGCTGCAAGGAACCGGAGGGTTACCCTCAACTCATCCACAAATGCTTCATCATCTGTTATATCCCTGCAGTGCAAAAACAATGTTACAACTATTAACGTTCTGAGAGAATAGGGGACTTGGCATTTATCGACTTTTTAAAGGGAAATGGAGACACCCACCTGTACCAAGGATAAATAAAGTTTTCTAAGACCAGTTCTAAAATCTGCATGGGATAAATACATACAAAAATAAAATCAATATGGATAAACAGCTGACGGTCACAAAAACATTCGAGCCGGCTACAAACACATTAGATAAATTAAATTTCTATAATGTAAATTAATTTATAGAGCATTTCTGTGAAGTATATATACTGTATACAAAGACAGTGACACATAAGAATCTGACATAATAACATAATTGAATAAAATCAACAAACTGCAAGTTTAGTGAAGAAGATTCACCTCTGAAAGAGAAGCGTCCACTTTTGACGGCAATTTCAAATCCAACCAGGGTTGGTAGTTTTCCAACAGCAGGGTCGGTCTGCGGGAAAACATGAAAAAAAATAATAAACACTGCCAAGGCAACATTCTTAAATGAAGTAATTCTAATCGGCTTAAGAGGCTCGTTTAAATCGCTAAAGCATATTGTCAAATGATGGATCATCAATTCCAGCGCTTTGCCACATGATGGCAGTATGCGACAGGTTTTATACAGAGACAGCTCCAGATTGTCTACAATTCAAAGCCATACATAATCACAAGAGGAAATAGCACAACAGCCGGTGCAATTACAAGCCTTTTTGAAAGGTGCAGAAAACTTTAAGGCAATTACCTCTGCAGATTATAAATTATTACGCAACGCTTTCGTCTTGGACCATTTCGTTTTGTAGACTTCTAATATATGTATTTAATTATTATTAAGGTCGCAGTTGTATTGGTTAATAACAAAATTTCGTAAGGTAATACAAAAAGCAACTACAAGGGTCATCTCTCTCTCTCCCTGTCGTCACCAAAATCAGCACAAATGAAAAACCAACAATATTTGCGCAATTTCCGACAAGACACTTACCTGTGTCGTTTACATTTTATTTTCCCACAAACTGCACAGCTGTGGCCCAAGGGAAACAACTCCTGTTGCTCCTGCTGAAGAATTAAATCAAATATTAACAACATGGCAGGCAATTTTTTTCACATTCCGCAACAAATCATTTTATACTATTTAATATTAAGCTTTACACGTTAACTGTCTTTGTCATAACATTTAATATATGTTATGCAATATAATTTATACACAAGGCGATTAATTGGTCATTAATAGATATTGCAATTTTATAAGTATATGTAAATACTTACCTTCTTCTTCGGTTTTATTGTAAATAAGATATTTGGCAGTAGAGATTCTGGGCCAAGGGAACAATAAAATACAACAACGCCAGCCAAAAACGACCAGAAAACCATCAAAATGTGAAGATATCTGAAACGAAAAAAATATATATTGCATGCATCATTGATTTTTTTTACTGCATCACTTGTTCAAACTATTGTTGTAAAACACTGTAACGTATAGCAAGCATTTATATGTCAACATTACATTATATTCCTTAAGTTAAACTCTTGCAAAAGGTACCTATTAAGGAGAACGGTGGATAAAAGCAAACAAAGCATAATGAAACAGAAGACAGGATACTGGCGCCCCAATTCTCTGAAGAGATCCACCTTCAGCCTCTGCTTCAGGGTTTCCATATGTTTCCTTAAGCCAGTCATCGTGTTAAACCGTTAAATACACATTTGCTGGTTTTATATGAGCTGTCGGAGGAGGCAAGGCACGATTTCCCGGCAACGCGCAGCGTTTATTTTACCCGACGCATCACAATATTTACTGTTCACTCAGCATATGCTGCACGAATTTATAATGCAAATTTCATAATAATAATAATAATGGTAAATGGCAAAGTAGCTATGAGCAGACGATTGCGTTCGCAAAAGTCAGCAGGGTATCGAGCAAATCCCATGCCACTTATCGTACACATAAGCCAAGAATGTGAAAGCGGCCAGATTATATCGCAGTAGAAACCGTTCAATCGCAACACGCAAATGTACATAGACCGCGTCTGTCCTTAAGTATAAAAGTATGTGAAACATCCTGCTCATGCATGCTTTGAAGTCGCAGGCCGTGCTTATCTGCAGCTATATAAGGGATGGTCATTAATCTTGTTTTACAACTAATATCAATTTACTTGAACGCCTTATAATAAAATTGCCACATTCTGCTAGGAAATTATTTTAGCCCCATGACGCAATTTCCTCCGTTTCGCCTTGTTGCTGTGCGCCATCTGAGGGAGGGAGATGCACCCAGAGGGTGTTCGCTACAGGTCGTAGGACGCATGCGCAGAGAAACTTCTGCTTCCGGTTGTCAGCAGGTGGTCAGATTTCAAAATAATAGCACATTTTAAAAATATCAATCAAATCAGAGCATAAATGTACTAATGCGAGGCAGAATTTCTTGGGGAGGACGCTGCAAATACAGTAAAATAATAGATTCCAAGTCAATTGCAACAATATAACATAATTACAGCCATAAATTTTAATCATATTACATAAGCTCCATACAATTTGTGGTTGGAATTTCAGTACATTGAAAGGGAGTGAAAAACATTCTACCAGTTAAATCCAATTGCATTTGTATGTGAAAGAGAGCTGAATCAATGACACTTATCAGATGAAAAAGAAACTTAAGATTATGAATCAACACTGATTTTTCAAGATTTCTACTGCATATTTTTTTCCTCTGATAAGAGTTTATGAAAAAGCAAAAAAAACATACATGTATATAATTCCAACTATTCTCCAAGCTTAACAGGTTATCTTCTCATCAAGAATTATATTATGATGCTCCCATCCTAATGCTTGCAGCAAAATTAACAGATTTCAATGCTGTGATTAGGTATGCTCAAAAGTGCTCCACGTCAAAGCCAAAAATGAAGACAAAGGACAAAGCTTCATTTATTTATTTTTTGCAGCTTCTCACTCCATTTACAATGGTGCAGTGAATAATAATAATGAAACATTGTCAGACCAGGTACCTTTTCACATAGATATTTGGCTACTTCGATTAATTTTATTTTAGGGCCTGCCGGTGCTGCATACACGTACCAAGCACAGATTAAATAGGCCGATATTTAGGATGCCACAGCAGTAAAAGAAACAAGGACACCAATAAAAAATCAAAAATTTTATTACAAAAATAAGTTACACTCACTTCATCTAACAGTACAAAACAGTCTGCAGGAATGCAAAAGTTGTTGGCCACCAAATATTCACAACTGGTAATATTGCCCTAAGCAAATGCTTGTTGTAATGACACTTATAGGGAGGATGTCTCTGATGTATGAAGTTTGAATACAATATTTTAAGTGTAAACAGAAGCTGGAGTGCACTGGATGACCAAACAGCCTTGTCCAGTCTACTGCTACAGTGTAATGCCTGCTCGATATGCATTAACACAACATTCAGGGGTACTTAACAGACAAAAAAAAATGAAAAATGTTGTCGTTTGGATATCAGAATGTTAGCCAACAGAGTCATGTTGAATTAGGACAAGTCTATGAACAAACAATGGTTCTTACAACTGTGTATGCAACCTTTAAGGAAAACACGTTAATACTACAAAAAGGTTTATTAAAAAGAAACCACTCTTCCATTGGAAAAAACTGGGACATTGCAAGACTTAAAAGCAGTCAATGTCATTAGGATGTTACAAAAGTGTTGCCCCCCCCCTCCCCAACTGTCATATGACCATAATTATTTCACCTGAAGAAGCAAGGCAGCCAATTCAGTTAAAATGATGGAAGCAAGGCTTGTTCCGCCTCATCACATGAGACCATTTCACACGCCCAGTTTGACTGTTTGTAGCGTTGGGCCAACAGTGTATCTGTTGTCACCCTTGTGCATATTTAATATGGATGAACAAGCCCTGCTTTCATCAGTAAAGTCACCTATTTACAGCAAACCCCAGGCAGTTTAAATCCTCCATACTGAGGTAGTTAAACAGACCCTTAAAGTTCTGAAAAGAACCACTTTCCTGGAATGCCCGACTATTCCTGCCTTTTGGTTATACCCAGATCTACCAATCTTTGCCCCAAAGGTGCCCAAAACTAAACAATTAAGTGGATATTCCAGCAAAAATACCGTCAAGCTCCTCCAGGCCACAATAAATTCAAACTTAAGTGCAAAATGCATCTTACATTTTCAAACTCAGGTTCCTTTCAGGCATCATACAAGGGGAAATTCCACTCAAAACAAAGAAAGAACGTGTGTGTGCATTGTGTACATATATATATTTTGTGTGTGTGTGTGTGTGTGTGTGTGTGCGCACGCATCTGTTTACGTACTCATACATGACTGGAACTGAGAACTGGTGCGTTGCTTCCCCTGATCTCGGAAGTCAACGCCTGTTGTATGTAGTCCCACTTTTCCTATATTGTAATATCAACAAGACAGGAACTGCATCCTTTTAAAAACTTTCCCATGATACCTTGAAGCACTTGAATGTAAGCCACAGCAAGGCCGAGGGAAAATGTCCAGACATCGATCACTCATCGCAGTGAGAAGTTCAAGCTTATGAACGGACTAAATCTCAGTGGAATTCCCCATTAACAGATTTAACTGATTAAAAGGTGTATTTTTAAAAGGTCAAAGGGAGATACAAGTGGCAGCTAAAAAAAAGTCCAAGGAAGTAGCATCTTGAGCATTGTACTATGATGGCTCTGGACAGACTGCTCTGTAAGGCCATCGCGTCGACCTTACCATCTCATCCAATGGCAGCCTCCGGTGTAACAAGTCAGTCTTCATAGTTACAGGTCAGGACCGGCCTCGACCCTTTTATCCTGCTAGCCAGGTGACAAAAGGAAGCGATTAGAAGAAAATCCACGACAGACACCCACACACACAGCAGGAGAGAAAAACACTCATTATAAAAGGTACGAGAGCAGCTCTGCACCAATGCCATTTTAACATGACTAGCTAACATGCTAATTTATTCTTGAAGGACAACTTCAGCCAGGCTTGTTTAAAAGCTATTGTAGTACATAAAGATCAATAAAAAAAAGGCTGACAGGCACTGAACTCATGCACTCCAACCAGGATCAACTTATGAAATGACTCATTATCAAACTGTGCTTTTGACAACTTAGAAATTAGAAATTGTTTGTTAGACAGTTGTACTCAATCCAGACGGCAAATTTAGTTTAGTCTTTTTTTATATAGGATCGATATTGCTGTGAATTCAGTACATTACTAGCATTGATTATAGCATTTTGGTAAACACAGATCCTGCAATTCTAAAGTGATAACTGAAAATGATGCTTTTATAAACTTTCAATTTAACTTCAATTAAATTCAGTTTAAGTTAAAAAACCCAATGGTATACGAGGTGATATTTACAGCACGTCAATAATACGTGCAAACCTTCATTCGCCATATTTTGGCATGGAGTTGAACGACTGAATGCAAATTGAGAAGAGAGTTTTGCCCAAACACGAATTTGAAAACACAGTTTGTAGTTTAACACTGACTTGTGTACTTTTATTAAAGCAGACAAACAGCAAAGAATACAAGCCAAAACTAGGACTGAACGTCCTTATTAAAAAACAGAACAAGACAAGCTATTTTCTAGCAATATTATTGTTGTAACAAACATGGTTATTTATATTTGATACAATAAATTGATGTATTTTTTTGCTGTTAACCTACTTAGGACATGTGGAGAATACTTATTTTTTGAACATACATAAGACTATATGCTTGAGCACAGGAATGCAAGTTTAAAAATTTCCAGACCTAATTATTGTTTTATACCCGGAAAAAAAATGGTAAAATCAATTCGTCAGAAGTGGAGTGTATCTGCTGTTCAGTCCAAGTGGTTTAATAAAATATATACAAGTGGAATCTTGTCACCAATTTAAAAAAAAAGAAATAAAAATTATCAAAATACAAAAAGAAAACCAACATAAGTGGCAACTGTTCATATTTAAGGGTGGGTCGGTCAGAGACCGTCTCCCAAGTCTCTACACAACACTTCTGTAAATTGGAGCCCTAATCTTCTAGTTCCATTGTTGCCCAAAAGAATCCTGATAAAATTCCTGGTTGTCAGGTCTGTAACCATAGTTAGCAGAATTGTCACCACCATGCACCAGCGGCTGCTGAGCAATGGGCTGGGAGCCCCAGTTCTGATTATTGGTCTGGCGCCGCTTGGAATCTGGCTGGTTGTAAACGTCAGCTTTGCGCTTGCCTCCTACACTTTCACCGCGGCCGCCTCTCGCACCACGTACCCCGCGGCCTCTCGGGTGGACGCTCCCTCTGGCGCCTCGCATGCCTCTGCTCGGACCCAGGCCGCCCCGCAGTGAGAAGCCGGCCCTTCCCCTCGGCGGAGCTGCGGCAGCCCCCCCGCGGCCTCGGGGCGGGGCGACACCCCGGGAACCCCTCCCTTGGCTGGGGACCTGATAGTCATCGTAGGCATAGTAGGGGTCCTCGTAGCCGCCGCGGTAGTTGTGGTAATCGTAGCCATAGTCGTAGTAATAGTCTTCGTAACCGTAGTAATCGGGAGGGTAGGAGTAACCCCCCCTTCCTCCTCTGCCCCTGCCTCTCATAGGAGGTGGCACATATGATGGGCCGTAGTAATAGTAATCGTCATACCTGAGGCAAACAAGGTGAGGAAGATTGTTACCATCGACGGGTACAGATGATCACACGTTCCAAACAGGCGAACAAGGAAGAAATCAAGCAGCGTTACATTTAAGCACAATGTTAGCGCATCTAGACCAAACAAGAACAGTCACCATAGGGTAAAAATGACAGTGTACCATGTAGCACTGCTAACAGTGAAAAGGTAAACAGATTTAGCTAATTCCAGTGCATTTCTTAAAATTGGCAAATAACAAAAAAAGGCAATAAAACAATAGGGATCCAATGATAAAGAGCACCAGTAAAATCATAAAAAGAAAACCTGGAGAACATCACAGCCATCATCTGAGTCCCTTCAAATGCACACACATCTGTTCAAGACAAGTGTTATACTGAAGAACCATTTTACTACAACCATTGACAGAAATCTGCACAAAGTGCCATCACAGAAAGTTATGGCAGAGTTAGCCTGGATAAGTCAACCAAATCTAAAAGTACAGATACTCCTCTTCTTACGAACTTTCAGACATACAAACAAAGAGGACCGTAAGTCCAAATTGTGTTTATTGGTTGTACTTGCGTATACCCTTAAAATTATGTTGAATAATGACTTACGAACATTTCAAGTTACAAACGGCCATTCGGAACGTATCTAAGTCTTAAGTAGAGAAGTTTCTGTATTCTGCAGGGTGATTCCCATTTAGGAAATGCATCAAACCATTCCTGATCTAATACTTCAGTACATCATATAAAGCTCACTGAAGAGTCCAGCATCAACTAGCCAATGAAATAAACTACTAGCTTTTACTGCTGTTTAAATGTTGACCTAACAGTAGCTTACGGGGTGAATTTTTGCACAGTGACTAAAAATTTACCTTGAAGAGTTCAAAGCACAAGCTTTCCAACAGCAGGTAGGAAAAAAGCCACCCTACTTCTGACCTGTCAAACTGTGTGGTTTCAAAATAAAACAGCCAGGGACAATTTGATATACAACTACATATAATAATTCAAAGTCATTTCTCATTTTGGGACACAGGAACAACTTGCACAAACAAATTCACATACTACAAGAAAAGTGCCACGAGGCCTGATTAATTTAATGTCAAAACAACTCCGTAAAAGCCTAACTGCTCGCTTGAAACACGGGATCTTAAAAGCATCTTCGCCATGTTGACGTGCCAAGAGTGCATGCAGCCACAGATCATGAAAAGAAGCTGGGGAAAACTCAAGCAGCTCAACAGAACGTACAGCAAGCGGGTGCCAGAAAGTCAGCTGGAACTTCTCCACCAGTTATTGATTCTTCTTCCCTCATTTTACTTACATTGTTGTTTTAGCATACTGCCTTTGCACTTTGCGTTCCCTCCTCTTCTGGTCGGGGGGCTTCGCAAAAACTATTTCAATGCTTTCTCCTTCCACATCTTTGCCGTTCATCTCAGCTAGCGCCTACGGAGAGGAAGAGGAGGGGAAAAATAAGCGTTGTCCAAGATAAGGGTGCCCAGCTAGGCATCTGATAGCAACTGTACCTTCACGGCGCCATCTCTCTCATCAAAGTGGATGAAGGCGTAATCTTTCAGTTTCTTTACCCGCTCCAGTTTACCAAACTGGCTGAATGTTTTCTCAAGGATCTCCTCAGTTACTGTGCAGGCAAGGTTTCGGACAAACAGAACTTTCACCTGCCAATCAAAGCACAATATTTAGGCCAAAGAAGAACAGACATCACACATTAAGGAATCCACAGCAGTTAAACACACACTTCCTTTGAAAATCCAAGTTGGGGTTGGCTACCTCAAACCACATTCACAACTCAAAAACAAACCATTTCAATTCCACAGCGGATACCACGAGCCGGGAGCCCACATCGCCCTATGGCTCGTCTTCCAGCTGAAGACCGTTCCCTTCAGGGTAGGTACCTTGGCCATGACCTCCGGGTCTGGGTCCTCAATGGGATCGGCCCACTCCACCGTCACCACATTGCCCCACACCTTCACCTTCCCGCTCATTAGTCTACGCCGTGCTTGGGCAGCAGTTTTGTGATCCTCGTACTCCAAGAAGCAGAAGCCTCTGTTCTTCTTCTTGTTATCCGGCTGATGGTACAATATTACATCACTGAGACCCTCTGGATGCAGGTGGCGTGGGGGGTGGGGATCAAAAAAGGCAGCATGTCAATAAGGCGTGAGACCAATAGGCCTATGAGACTAGCCACGTCTAGACAACAAACAAAAAAAACCTCAACACATACAGTACGCAACTAAGGGTGCCACTCCTTCCTTTAGAAGCTTCATGAGAAGGAATCATCTTTAAATCTCCCTCGACTTTCCACTGTCATTGCTTTACCTGTGACTTTAGCAAACTCCTCCAAGATCTGCTCTTTCGTTTTGTTCTTGGGTATCGAGCCAACAAAGAGCCTGTTATTAGCAACAGATATGCAGACTCCTATGTGTTTGCCAGGCCGTATTTCACTGTTGTTACACTGCGGTGTTGGGGAGAGAGAGGAACATACCAACAGTTACCAAACTTGAACCTCTGCTCATCACCTTCTGTTTACCTGCATCTTCTGATCAACATACCAGCTTCACAGCCTCCTCAGCAGCTTCTTTAGTGCAGAAAGTGATGAAGGCATATCCGCGGTTCAGCCCGCTGAAGGGGTCCATCATTAGCCTCAGGTCCCATATGGGCCCGGCCTTCTCAAACTGTGGAACAAGCTCATCCTCAAATAAGTCTCTCGGGATTTTGCCTACAAATATCTGAAGAGAAGAGGTGACATCAGACCAAGGTCACATTTATCCTGCAATGTCATAGCAATGATTTGGTAACTCCAAGGTCAAGGCATTGAAATCGTCCCACTTTGCAGATGGATTGTCAAACCTTTGACTCTTTGTGCTAGTAAATCCAACCAGTTTAACAGATCTCACAATCTTTAGAAAGATTAGAAAGAAAGATTGAAATTGATGTGCACAGCAATTACGACATCAGCAGGCTTACCTCTGTGCCCACTGGGGACTGTGTTCCTGGGTACACAGACTCTGGAGGGGGACCTCCATATTTTCTCTGACCTGTGGTCACGTCTAGTGTGTAGCCAGTTCTCTCCAACAGGGCCTGTTTCAGGTTTAAAATTGTTTACGTCACACGGCACAAGCGGCTATAGCAACTAGTGTAACGAACAACTTCAACCCACTAAACAATTACAAATCTGCCAATCAATCAATCAGACGGTCCCAAAAGTCCACTTTGGGTGGGGCAAGATGGGTGACAGCAGGAGGTTCAAATGGAAACTAATTTTGCAGCCATAATTTTGCAGTCCTGTAGGACCGTCCTGCAACTGTCAAACCCCCAGAGGCTTTTACAAAGTTTTAAAAGCTTTTAAAGCCGGCTACAGCCACAGGCACTGGGCTTTAGCTCACAGAGGAGACCAAGCCTGTTTGCAACATAGAACAGCATTACTAATTTGCTGCTTAGCTTGTGATTCTATCCAAAATGCTCTAGAATACTGTTCCTCCATAGGGCTGTATATTTTACTAAAGCCAGTAAAGTCCACCATCTTACTTGATAGTACTACAGAAAGGGTCCCTCCAAGTACTCAGAGACAATGTCACAGATCAACACATCAGCCCTTCCCCCACCACGAGCATGGTGAGTGTTGACTTTAGCACATACACATCCAGCAAAAAGGAAAGACATACTTTGATTTTGGCTTCATCAGGTCCTTTGTTACTTTCCAATACTTTTGTCCCTTGTTTTTCCCGCTGCCGGTAGGTCTTCATTACTCCACACAGAAAGGCACTTTTGTTCTGTAAGGGAGGGCGAGACGATTTGTCTACAACAACCTGGAAATTTCGATTCTTGTCCTCTGAAAGACTTAACTACAGCCACAGTTCACCGATACACACTTACTTGTACATGTGAAAGGTCACTGTCCTTAAACTCTAGGAGTACTTGCAGAGCACCGTCTTCATTAAACTCTTTCAAAGCTTCAAGTGCCCGTTCGTCTAAGTCACTGTGTACTACCAAACCTGGAGAAGAAGAGGAAACATTGAAACTCTGACGACACCGAGAGAGAGCATGTTCCTGACCCACACTAAGAGGTCACATAAAAGCCGCAGTACAGAAAGCACTCATGGCACCTAACCAAGCTAGGTACCACAGGCTCAACAGGACAGAGAACTGACCTGTCAACACACAGATTTTCTACAACTGGAACAGGCAGAGAGCATGAGAATCAAAGTTGGTATCATAAAGTACCCTCAATAAAGCCTGACGCTTTTAAACATATAATCTGTAGTTAATCGTACAGTTAATGGTGAACAGGAGCAGATTTTGTGGAGAACAGGAGCAGATTTTGTGAAGAACAGGAGAAAAACCATCAACAAAACTGTACTAAAAATCATAGAATCACATTGGAAATGATACTGCAGTAACAACGCAGCTTATTCACACAGCATGACAGCAGCTGCCACGCTTCTGTCGGCAGGAAGACTTGTGGTTTCAAACAGTTATAATTCTGTATGCCATTCGTCTCGCAGTCCACGGCTCACAAAGTCTCATCAATGATTGCGATGTGCTGCATCACATGTTCCACACGTTAGAAAGCACAAACTGGATTCAAACAAAACATCTGTGTGGGGAGGAAGCAGGTGTCTCTGTTTAAACACTGCAGTACCCATTTTGTTGGGGAACCACAAAAAGTTGCTTACGTATCCCAATTCCCACTTTCAAAAAGGGAAGAGATCCTCAGCGTTAAAGGACATGCAACTGCAAACGATAGCAAGGGTCCAAATGCTCGTGTGTCTTACCTGCTAGGTAAATTTCGTCTAGTTTTTCAGCAACTTTCTGTGGTAAACCAGCTTCTAACAAAGCCTGGAAGTGCTCAGAATGGGTAACTGCAGCAGACGTGTCCATAGGTTCTTCTGTACCATTCCTATTAATGTGTTCAGTGGCCATTTTTCCAGAAATCTGTGTAAACGCAATGAGCCAAATTAATCCAAAAATATGGTAATAAAAATAAAAATGTCTCATGACTTTAGATGTTGGGAAGGGAGTGCAGAGATAACCCTAGCAGATTGTGCTACAATAATCACAGTAATGCTAGTGATTATATCATTATGGTGCTATTATATACAACACAAATATGAACTCAAAGCCCCCCTGCTGTGGTTTTAGTCCAAATCCAAATAAATTATGACAAAGCCAATAAATTTGATACCATTTAAGGTACATTCCCAGTGAACCACAAGCATCAGCATGTACACCACAGAGAACCAAGTAAGACTGGATGTAATTACAGTAATTATTGGAGGAATTATACTGTTAAGTCCTCACAAAGAATACGGTTTACTTTCACTAACAGATCACTCTGTAAGTTACTGTTTGACAGGTCTCCTGCCCTGAGCCAGTTGGGGGAAGCTGAGAATATAGCAGCGCTGAACAATGCCCATTCACACTTTCATGGGCCAGTCCAACACGCTGTGCCGAGTCCAGCCCTAGTACACGTGTTTCTGCTTACCACCGAGCTTCCGGTTACTAGATAATATTGAGTACAAATTGAAAATGCATATTAATCATTTTATTATAACATTGGGAGCGGTGACTCGACCGGTTAATCCCAATGCAGGCTACTGTCATTAAAGCTTCCTGCCATACTCGTGATCAAAAATTAATTAAACGACAAACGGCTGATGACCCGTATTTTATTCCCCCAAAATCTAACCTTTATAACCGGTCCGCCGTCCACAAAAGTCCCCACGGAAATAGACTACTAGCTAACTGTTCAAAATATGGTATTTAACCGATTATCGCAGCAGGGCCCAAATAATCAACGCCCGTCAGAACGGAAAAAGCAAAATCTCCCCAGCTAATAACTTGTCAATTTACTTCAGAGATTAATAGATTTATCTAGGTACCTACCACCGTAAAAACAAAATTACATTGCCAAAAAGTTTAGAAGCTAGCCAGCTGAACAAAAAGTGTACAGGCTAAAAAGTAAATGAAAAGCAACCTGCTGAACGGCGGAAAGGCCACTCAACTAGACCGCGCTATTGAGAGATGGGAGGGTATACATTTACTACTGGTGACACTTTCCCACTAAAACTACATTTCTCTTTCTTTTTTAGTTTTTCCACTACTGTAAGCAGAGGCCTAGTGCGCAAACACAAGCGGAGTCCATTTTCGAACCGCCGGTCATGAACCCCCGGCCCCCAGACCGGTTACCACGCCGTTTCTACGGCACTAAGAGAGCCACTACTTCAGCTACGTTTTTGACACTTCAAATAAATATTTTTTTCCTACCTGCCGAATGGTGACTAAATCAAGTGGTGTATTTTTTAAGTTTATTATTTCTTTTTTGTTTGTTTTTTTAAGGAAATGTGTTTTCCCCAAAAATTAAAAATGGTGTGCAACTCCCCGGCTCAAGCCCGGCGCCGCGTTATCGCACAGAAAGATGCAAAATGGCGGTCGCGCTCACGCTGTACGCTCGCCTCCATCGCCGGGGTTTCTCGGAGAGCCGCGCACGGACTCGACTCCTCGCCGTACAACCCAGGGAGGGGCCGTCTCCTTTTGGTGGGCGGGGCTTGCGTTAATAACAGGTGGAGCTCGCTCTTTTGCGCAGGCGCTTTGGTTGATCCACTGATCCGCGCATTCACAGTGACGGATGGACTGAATACTTGGTAATACTGTAATGTTTTGTATGGGCTGCATTCAAAATAAGTATACCGCTGCTAAATTTGACCTTGGTCTATATAATATTGGATTGGGAAAAATGTTTAAGTGGTGGGCGTGTTTTGATGCGTCTTTGCAAAGAGAATCGACCAAAAGGATCGCGGACCTGTTGGGGGAGGTTCTAGGAGTCAGGACATCCATCTATCTATCCATCCATCCATCCATTTTCTGTAACAACTTGTCTTATTCAGGGTCGTGGGGCTCCGATGGTAGGGTACAGGCGCAAGGCAGGGAGAGTCGGGACATCAGAAATGGAAACGGGACACAGCGGAGCACTGCTCTCTGAAAATAATATATATATATATATTATTTACACATATATATGTGTAAATACACATATACACACACACATATATATATGTGTGTGTGTGTGTATATATATATATATGTGTGTGTGTGTGTGTCTGTCTGTCTGTGTGTGTGTATATATGTATATATGTTAAACATCATTAAACTATCTAAAATGTTTGATTTTTTTGCAAAATGTTTCACAGCAGTCCTTTTGAATGGTTGCATGATGCTGACATAATGTATTGGAAGTAGTTTAGAAATGAATCTGCATTGGCCTTTTACGGGTTCAGGAGAAAGCGATGCACTCATATTTTCAGTTCACAACGCCTGGTGTCGCTGTTTTCAAGGAATTTTTTTACAGTCATTTTTAGTTGACTTGCGTTTGCAACCAATTTTTTGAGGAGTGCCTTTCTTAGTATAGTATACAGGGTGTCCATAAAGTCTTTTTACAATTTCAAAAATGTATTACAAAGACAAATGAAAAGATAGATATGTGGAAATTATTATAAAATGAGATGTATATATTTAAGTTTTTTGCCTCATTTAATACACCTCTATATGGGCACCATTAGTTGCACGAAGCACATCAAGACGGTACTCGATTTCTTGCCATATTCGCTGTAGCATACCCTCAGCAATGGTGGCAATGGCTTCAGTGATCATCTGCTTTAGATTAGTGATGTCCCATACCTTTGTTTGCAACGTGACTAAAAACTTTGATAATCACAAATCTGATGAAGATCTCATCGATTGCCTTTGTAATACATTTTTGAAATTGTAAGGAGACTTTATGTACACCCTGTATATTAATGATGTGGTGCAATAGAAGTATTTACCACTTGTCTTAGGAGTTCTGTTTCTTTAAAACTTATTTGGATACACATAAACTACAAAATTTTGGTTTTTGATTGTAAAAATGTAATTTTACATCACTATTAACAAACAAAATGTAAAATACTTCGACTTTTATATAAATAAAATATAATGACAGTTTTTGATTAACATAAAATGTTAAAGGAACATAAAACAGAATCAAAGCAAATAGTAAAACATTTATGTTTCTGTAGTACATATTGTACTATATTTCTGTTTATGCTAAATAATACTAATAATCAGTTTTGTGACAAAAAACAGCAATATTGGCTAAATACTATGAACTGTGTAATTATTTGTTATCCTAATGTTATCTGGCTACATTAATTTTATTATGACAAAAAAAAACTGTAAAAGATTTTTATCAAAATGGATCAGAAATGTCCACCGGAAAACTTTTCAACAGGACTTTTATTTTGGAAGACAAAATAATTTACAGCAGTGTAGCTCAGGACAGTGTAGATGCTGCTGTTGTAACCGTCTGTTACTCAAACCTCCTTCATAAGGCTTCAAACTCATCGATCCTCTGCTTGGTGTTACCCTGCCGGATCTGCTTCAGTGTCTTGTATTTGTCTCTTCCAGCTCGCACGTTTTCTGAATGGAGCTGGTCGTTCTGGGTGCTCTTAGTCTCATCCCGGGCCTGGGCCAACTCTGAGCTGAGAGTCTAGATGAACACATTGGAGGTCAGTCACAAATCATTTCTCAACTTTAATTCCCTGGAACCAAGTCAACTGAAAACGCCTAGTGTCAGGGCATTCATTTTTATTTATTTATTTGTTTTTGTTTGTTGCTGCCAAACTAATTATGACACCAAGCATCAAGAATAGGCAGAATATGTTGACTTTTCTTGACACTGATAGAACACTGGCTGTTGATCAGTATTGAAGGTATACTATGTACATCAACAACAAAGACTTTTGAGTTAACGGATTGAAAAACGTGACCATAAATGCGCTCACCTTCAGCTGCATCTGCAGCCGCTCGTTCCTCTCTGCCTCTGGGAGGCGCTCCTCCTCATCACGGTCGTTGCTGATGCCCTCCATCTGCAGCTCTGCACTATAGGTGTTTTGCTCCTCTACGTCATTGTGATCATGGTCTTCAACATACTCAGCGACGGCGACTGGATAGGTAGGTGCCATCATGTCCATCTGTACCTCCTCCATCCTTTCTGAGTCCATTTGGACCTCCATGGCCTAAGAAACAACACATGGCTTCCGTTTTGGTTGCGTTTTGGTGACGCTAATGCTAATTGGCTAATCTTCAGACAAGAAATAATAATGAAACTCTGTTGATTCCTTGGGGGGAGAAATGCTCTTTTTGTCTACCCAGTCTTGCTTTCTGTAACACATATATAGGTGAGAGCAAGCTTGGTAGCAAAGGGCACCTGCCTTCAATGGCTCCCATGGAGCTGGGAGTAAAGGGCCTTACTCTAGGGCCCACAGACATGACTATTTTGCTGTGGCTGGGGTCAAGCCAGTGACCTTCTAACAGGCACAGAGCCTTAGCCCACTGAGCCACAAACTGCCTCCCAGTATTGGTTGTGGTTAAGTTTTGTCCTGGATATTATCATTCAACCACTGAACTTCTGAATTTTCAGTTTACAATGCCTGGAGTCACACTTTTAAAGGAATTCAACGGTTCACTTGCAGTCGTAACCAGTTTTCTGAGTATAGGATATTTCAATACCACAGTATGACAGAAGTATTCCATAATTAATGTCCTGCTTTGTGTATTTCAATATTGAATAAATATATATATAATCGAACCACAGTTCTCGAAAGCCTCACATCTCGTACAGTTTGGTTATCAACCATTTTGTTCAGTAAAAACAATTCTAGGCTGTTGATCATATTTTCGGTTTGCAGTCAACTAACCATCTCTCACTTAAACCTGTCTGACAAATGCATGTGTATGAGTCAATTCTACCATTAACGTTCATGCAGTGAACATCACTGCTGAATTGTGCTGTGAATATTATATTGTTTTACTTTTATTTTATTTTTAAACAGGCCACCATGGGTCCTAAGAAGGTTAGTGATAGCAGCAAACCAAAAAGGGAAGTTGTGAGAACTACAATAGAGCTTAAAAAGGAAATAATTGCAAAGTATGATAGAGGAGTTTGCATGTCTGATCTCACTACAGAGTATGGAATGGCGAAATCATTTTTTATTTATGTCATGTATTTATGATTTTTAAAGTTTTTAATTATGGTTTTAGCATTAGGCATGTATTTATATATGTTTAAATAAGCAATCATTTTGGGGTCTGGAACAGATTAATCCAATTTACATAATTTCTTATGGGGAAAAAAGATTTCTGTTTTCGACCAAGTCAGTTCTTGAACAGCCTTTTGATTAAGTTTGAGAACTGAGGTTTCATTGTATATAATTTATTAGCACAGTACCTTTTCGTTGGTAGTCAATGTCGTTGTCATCAACTGCAGCTCTTCCTTTGTCCTCTCCAAATCATTTTGGACCTCCATGGCCTGAGAGAGGACAACCCACCTTCAGAACATTGTCTTCTGACAAAGCTAATAAGCTAATCTTCAGATAAGGAATATTGACTACTGAGTTTGCTCCTCGATATTATCATTGAAGAAGGTGTCCACCCATACAGACTCCATAATTTCTTGATATGCAAGGCATGATGGTAGCTGGAGGACACTTACCTTGCTCTGCCATGTGACAGCTTCCTCTTCCTTGCTCCTCTTTGCTTCCTCCAACATGCTAATCTTGGCTGAGTATTCAGCTAATTCTGCAGCCTAAGAAAAGAGACCTCGCTGAGTCACTGCCAGATCTCTCACACCAAAAGCTCCTGACTTGTAACTCAAGATCAAGTATGTCCAATCTAAGGATCACAGTCCTTACAAGGGACTTATCAATGAGACCCATTATCCTACTTTTATATTCACTCATACTACTTTTTCATAAAATATCAAAATAAAGAATATAACTCATCACATCAATGTGCAAAAAAAAACCAGGCAGAACACAAAAAGTAATCAGAATTGGAGGTTTTGGTCTCTAAGGGTGATGATACACAGGGCAACATTTTGGGCAATGTTGCTGACCAGTGAATCTCAGGCACTTTTGCCATTGATATTGGGCAACACATTTCTATTTCAAAAACTTTGATCGGCAGTGGGCAACTTTTTGCGATCACCCAGATCCAGATGAGTTGCCCTTAGTCTCACTTGGTTGGCAGTTGCCCAGCAACATTGCTCAAAAAGCTGCTGTGTGCATCATCACCTTTTGGGTTGCCTGTGTCTTCCATCCTCACCAGCTGTTCCTGGGTCTGAGCTTGGTGCTCAGCCTGCCTGGCCAGCTCCTCTTTTGCCAGGAGAGCAGCCTTCCTCTCTGTCTCCAGCCTCACAGCCTCCTCCTCAGCCCTCCTCCTCTCCCGTTCCAGCTCCAATGCATGCGCCATCTGTTCCTGCAGTTCTGATGTTTGATATCTATACTTGATATTTGGCAAGTCACAGTCACAAACATACTCACTGGATAACTCTGGATAATTACTATTGTGTTATAATAAGGAGCATGCCTTGTTAATCCAATACATTTTTACGACCTGT